TCTACAAATAATTAAAATTCGAAATTAAGAAAAACATGAGAAGAAGAGTTTAAGGTCAATATAGGAATATAATTTAGAAGTAACTGAAATTCAAAATTAAAAATTAAAGAATATTGAAAGATGAGTTTAGAGTCCACATAAAAATAAAATTAGAAATAATAAAAATAAATAATATTGGAAGAAGAGCACAGAGTCTATATAGAAATACAATTTACAGAAAATTCGAAATTAAAAAAAAGAAATATTAAAAGACGAGTCTAGAGTCCATATAGGAATATATATAATTTACAAATAACTAAAATTTGATATAAAAATAATTAATAACTAACACGTATATAAAATATAATATGAATACTACATATTAGTAGTTTTGTAAAGTTATTACAAAATTTAAAATTATGTTGTCATTTTAATATATTTAAATAATATAATGAGAAAACATATATGCTATTATATGAGAGAAAATATAATGATGCTAGCCGCGCAATCTGCGTGAGCCACCATGCTAGTTTTTTATTATCGAATCACCTCTCTTCTCTTTTTTTTTTCATCCATCTATTTTCTTGATTTTATTTTTGATTTCTACGTAGAACTGTTTTTTTACGTGAAAAATGATTTCTTTATGTTTTTCCTTTCTCTTCATTAATTTTTTTTATCAACTCAGCTTTCTCTTATGTGACTGTATATTTAATGTTATAAAAAATGGTTAAGGTGGAGGATTAGGACTATCCTTATAAGCTATTTTGGGCCCTTTTTTTCCTTGAACACCTGAGCAAACGTTTTAATATCTTCGTCAACAAATATAAAGAATCTAAACTATACCGTGTAATAGTTTCGTTCTCATCTTGTCTTTCTCATACATAAAACCCAAGCTCTAGAATAGGCGAATGATTTTCAAGGATATAATAGCCTGAAGTCGTGCTATATGTTCTAGCATTGCCCATATTCATATAGATGTTAATGAATTTAGGCACACATATATATCTAGATTTATTAACATATATATAAATATGGATAATGCTAGAAAGTCTTCTAACCTGAAATGGAAGAAGTAACCTACATGTGCTATGCCACTAGCACGAGAAGTTTTAAAAGCTAAAGGAGGCTGAAATGGACAGTACAAAACCTTCAACGAGTACCGTTTCTTGAAAATAGTTTCTAGAATAGCTAGTACGAAGTTGATTGATATTGCTATTTCCAAATGCACCGAAATTCAATTGTCCTTGCCTGCTGATCAAGAGTCAAGACAGCGTTGGCAACATCGATCGTCATTGATATATTTGAAAAAAGAATACCACGACAATCGACGTTATACCTTAGTTTATAGTGTTAATTCCTAATATATGTTCGTAACTTTTTAAGTTCTCTCAAGGTTAAGAGGTAACATAGTTTTTATTAAGATTCATAATTTTATTATACATAACAAAGATAGTTCATGAAAAGAATCTCCAGTACACCAAACGATTCATCTTACAACACAAAACAATCCTTTCGGAAGGTAAAATTAACTCAACTAAGGAAACCAAATTCTAGATGGACCAATACGACCGTAACGGATGAGATTGACGGGGAGCCACGGCAAATGCCGCGACGTCCTATAGCCATGGGCCTCTTTGATGTGCACACTAATTGACAAGACGATAATCCCTTTTAGCTAACTCCACGAGAATGACACAAGTTAGAGATTTGTTGTTAAGCTGTAGATTTGATGTGAGCTTTGTCGGACTCAACAATGAATTTCATGGATCGGAGTTCGCCGTTGAATTCGAGGAGCACTACTTGCAATTCTACAAACCAAAGTTTTGAATGGAGTTTGTGCTCAACCTGAATAATGAACCTAACAAAGAAACACACACACACAAAGAGAGAGTGCTCCCCAAAATCCAGCCAACCTTAATCAAGATTCAAGAGAGGACTAGGATGGTGGCGATAGAACTTCTGTCTTGCTAGATCAAGCCAGAGCTCAACAACGGAGGATGAACGAGGACAAAGAGAAATTAACATGCAGCAGATCTGAATCAAGCAAGCGTTGTTTCAATCTGAACCACCGAAACACCTTCCAAAAGCTTAGGTCGACATTGCTAGATCCATCCTTGACTAAAGGATACCGTCCCAGAAGTCGAGGATTACCGCCACCTGAACACCCAACATCCGGTGGCAATGACACGGTGGATGCTTTATCACTGATGCAACTGTGCCAACACCACACGATACAACTGTGCCCTCGAGACTGTGAGCCACCATAGTGACGTGGTGTCCGAGGACGAACTAACCAGTGCTAACCACCATCATGCGACACCCAGATGCAGGGGAGGGGCTCTGGATGCGCCCTCACCAATCTTTCACTTTATCTTCCGGCTTGAAGCACTTTATTTTACCATCTCCCATTCCATCTTCTCTCACGTGGTCCAGAATTAGACTATTGATGACTAAATATGTTTCCTTCCATCACCAAAACAATAGCATTGGACTTAACGATATATCAAAATTGATATTCGGAAGTGTGTTACCTCCCCTAAGCACCATCCTTAATGTTTAACTAGATGAAACTCCACACGTTGTCGTGGGAGTTTACTATGATAACAATAAGTAAAAACAATATGTAAGATAGCTTAAACAACATAATAAGCTTATATAAACATAAGCTTATATAAACATAAGTTTATATAAGTTGATGCGATTTAAATTTAAATAGTATGTAGAATGATGATTCAAATGTAAAAGTAAGATGATGTGGTTTTATTAGAGAACAAAAGAAGAAAGATAATTTAGACCATACATCTAAGAGCTAAAAAAAAGATATGGCTTAATAAGAGAAGAAAATAAGAGAGATAATTTTAACCATAGATTAATCATCTAAGGACTAAAAACAATTGATGTGATGTGACTTAATAAGAGAAAAAAACATGAACTAAGTAAGAATAAACTACTTCCTCCGTTTCATATTATAAGACTTTCTAGTATTGCCCACATTCATACAGATGTTAATGAATCTAGAAAGTCTTATAACCTGAAACGGAGGTAGTATATAGGTATATAGGATATTATAAAAAAGATGAAGAGATATATTGAAATATTATGTGAATTATGTGGGATGATTTAACATTCTTACATTTTAAATATCTAAAATTTAATAAATTATAGATGATATATCATGCTTGCATGATGCTTAAATGTAATAATTGTTAGTTGATAATGATGTATCATTTTTACATGTTAAATTTTAGAAATTAGTGGGATATATATAAGAGAGGATTCCGTAGTGTACGTTCCTAACACTTATGCATCACCGTGTTCAATTTGAAGATCTTAGATACTTAATACTCGTGTTAGTCTAACCACTTGAAGTTAATGATCCTGTGGAGTACAAATTTATTTTATGTGCTTTATGAGGTACTCCATCATTGTCACACTGTTCAGTACTGTTCACTGCAGTATTCACACACTAATACAACTCTTATCTTTTGTTTCATCTATTCGCACGTTACACATGTGCATAGCTTTGAACTTGAAGCGGTGGTCCAACAAGTACTAATCGTGCACAAAGTCTTGCACACCCTTGCACTTCACAACAGAAACATCAATAATTGGGGGAGCTGTAGTTTGAAATTTTGGGTTTTCTTGTGATAGAACTCTAATGTCGCCTTTGGTACAATTATACTACAATATGATTAACTGTATCCACTCCCTCTTAGGCTGCATTCGAAAACTACAATCTTTTATCTTCTATTCCCTTATTTTTCTTTAGCACACTCACTGAACTGCTAAACGGTATATTCTTTTAAAAAAACATGTAAAAAAGTTTCTTAAAAACATATTAATCAATTTTCATGTTTTTAAAACCAATATTTAATTAATCACGTGCTAATGAGTCATACCGTTATGCGTGGACGGAGGAGAAGATCCAAACCCCTCTATCTGAACGCACCCTAGTCCTTTTCCAACCTCTAGCCATATGTATGGTTAGTGTCAACTATAACAGGTTGACCAAGGGTAATTAGTTTATAAAAAAAACTCTATTTCATCTCGTATATGATAATAGCCGCTTTATCTCTTATCGTGATTGTCAATCCAATTTTATTTCTAATATCCCTACACACGTTGAGATATTTTATTTTTTTCAAGGATAACCTTTGACAATCATTGACGCTCGCAACCACCATACCACATTGTCCTACCAACTCTCCTAGCTAAAAAAAATGTATCATGTCGTCCCACCAAACCTCCTAGCTATAGAAGATATATCATCGCGATACTTCGTGTTGAAACAAGTGGTGCTATGCTCCATGACTAGAGATTAATTCCATTGTACTCTCTCATCGCCCATGGCAAAGATCTATGGTCAGGCTTTGGTAACTATGGTAACTATAGCTATGTTTGGATAGAGCTTGAGATTTTGAGAAACATTTGATGAGCCAAATACGAAGTTAAGCTTCTTGGCTTCTGACTTTTAGTTTATTTTTAATTCTGTAACTATAAATTCTCAAAATCTTTCTGAGAATCCAAATTCTCTACTTACGAGAAGCTCCTCCAAACATGCAACAAAAACCTAAGAAAGTGAAGTACGAATCTTGAGTCACGAACAATGACCAGATCTTGCTAACCCTGGAGAGAATTATTTGGACAATGAAAATACTGGGAAAAAAGAAAATGTTACAGAATGGTATCCCGTTCGGATGGGATAATGCCTTTGAGCTACTGCATGATATAGCTAGTATTGACTGAGGTATCATACGATACCTGGTAGGTATCAGCTGATATCCCGTTCAAACGAAATGATATCTTTGAGGTATTACATAATACCTAAGATGTATAGGATGATACCTGTCCGAACATAATACTGTCCTGTAACATTCTTATAAAAAAAAAACAATTGAAAGCTGGGGCCATGGGCACCGTTTTTCTTCCAAAAACCCGGTAGAGAGGAAATCGGGAAGCGAATTAAATACTCAGATAAGCCGGGGAAGGCGACGTCGCGCGCTCTGGTCTCTTCACCCGGGCAAACATCCCCACAACGAGTGGTCCTCCTCACCTCACCTCCAACCCCCTCGTCTACCCACCCACTGCCACGTGGGACCAGCCACCCACCCGGGCCCACCCGTCAGTGACCAAACGTGACGACGAGGTGAGGCAGATCAGCGGAGGCGAGGTCGTCGTCAACCTCGCGCCATTAATGGCGCGCGCGGTAATCAGTTAATCACCGGGCTTAAGCCGCTGGGGGCGGAGAGGCAGGCAGGCAGGCAGTGCGCCATTAGCGTCACATGGGGTGGGCTCTTGTACACTAGCCATTAATACGGCAGGTCGCCCATCCCATCGCGTCTCCTCCGCTTAAATCCCCGCGGCTCCCTCCTGTCCGTGGTTGCAGCTCGCTCGCCGCGCTAGAGCTTAGCTCCGCCGCCGCCGCCGCCGCCATCGCCGGTCGAGCTAGCTCTTTTTGGTAGTGTAGCTAAGGCTAGCAAGAGGCCGGGAGCGCGGGTGGTGTGGCCGCGGATTATCTGGGTGCTTGCTTGTGCCTCCGGATCGGCCGGGGGTGATCGAGGCATGGACGCGGTCATGTCCGCCGCCGACGACGCGGGCGCGGCGTCCGGCCGGGAGGACCCACCGCCAGCCGTGGTGCTCGTCTCCGCCGGCGCCAGCCACTCCGTCGCGCTCCTCGGTAAGCGTCCTTCGGGGCGGGGGAAGCATTTCGTCGAACGCCTTGCCGGCGCTTCTATCTAAGCGGGCGTTTGCCTTTTTCTTTTCTTTTTCTTTTTTCCCGTTTTGCAGCGGGCAATGTGCTGTGCTCGTGGGGGAGAGGGGAGGACGGGCAGCTCGGGCACGGGGACGCGGAGGACCGGCTGGTGCCGACGGTGCTGAGCGGCTTCGACGCCGCCGCGCCGGGGATCACGTCGGTCATCTGCGGCGCCGACCACACCACCGCCTACTCCGAGGACGAGCAGCAGGTGTACAGCTGGGGCTGGGGAGACTTCGGGAGGCTCGGCCATGGCAACTCCAGCGACGTGTTCACTCCTCAGCCAGTCAAGGCCCTGCAGGGGATAAAGATCAAGCAGATAGCTTGCGGCGATAGCCATTGTCTTGCCGTCACTATGGCAGGTGAAGTGCAAAGGTGAGTGAAGATCGCTGTAAACAGCCATCTGCCCATACTATTTACTGTATATAACTCCAGGATTGTATAGTATGGTTGTCATGTGATCTTGTTTAAAGCTGCTTATCAGCAACCAAAACATAATTTATGGGTAAAGCTTTTATAGTTATTATGTCCTTAGTGATTTAAAAGTCAATGCTAAAAAATAAGGCATGATGAGAAAAAAAAATCCCAAAATCTACTTCAAAATTAAATTTTAAAATTCAAATTTAGAAGCCGCAGGGCAAGTGATGGGATGCAGCTGCTGGCAACTTTTATAAATGATGTTTTTGTTTTTCTATATTACCAGAAGGATGATCTGGGAATTCGAAGGGTTGTGCATATTTTTTTTTGGATGAATATTGAATAGTGGCAAATTCTTACATTATTCTGTTGTGTTGCGATTTCTGAGTTTTGGGTGACTGCTGTTTGCACTGATCTTCTCATGACTTTTTGTTTTAGTTGGGGGCGCAACCAAAACGGACAGCTTGGTCTTGGAACCACTGAAGACTCATTGCTCCCACAAAAGATTCAATCTTTTGAGGTAGAATATTGTGTATCATATTCATATAATTATACATATTAGAATGTTGTGTATCATATAATTATGTATATCATAAAAAGGATAGTTTTAGTACTACCTCACCGTTTATTGATATTTGTGCATGGAAATAGTATACGAATACATTGTGCTAAGGAAGAGTGTCATGTGAAAATCACTGGTATGGTGGCATCCATTACGCAGTCTAGTGCAAATCTTTGGTCATCCCTGTACTTATTAACTAAATTTTGTACTCCATATCATGAGGTGGACTGCAGGTGTAGATCCTCTCACGTTATTGTAACAGTTTTACTCTCCAATATAGACAGCACCCAGAGACAATAAATAATATGTTCATGTAATAATAATCTGAACATCCTGGCCCACTTATTACGTGTTGCTTCAAAGAGAAGGAAGATGGATAACTTTTAGATTTTCTCAATACACTATGCACTGTTGCTAATGGTCTAACATATGTATAGGGAGTTTGTGTGAAAATGATTGCTGCTGGTGCTGAACATACCGCTGCAGTAACTGAAGATGGTGACCTCTATGGATGGGGCTGGGGTCGATATGGAAACTTGGGGCTTGGTGATCGCAATGATCGGTTGGTACCTGAGAAAGTATCTTCTGTGGAGGTAAATATTCTAACAAGCTTGCCCTTCGCATCCCCTCCTTTCAAATTCCTTCAATATTTAATTCATTAAAAAGGAATATTCCATCCAATTTCCAGAATATGTTTTTGAAGATTCCATCCCTATATGCTACTGGACTGTATTGTCAGTCAGTCACCATATCACTGTTATCATAGAGTTAAGAATGAGTTGAAGGAGACAAGATCCTTTTATTTTGTCAGTCATTTTCTCAATACACTATTAAAAAACAAGATATTTCCTACATAGTTCAGAGCATCCTGTATTTTGTTATCACCTTATATTCCAAAGCATTATTAGAATCAGAACACCTAAGCCAATCATTTTCTTATGTGGAATTCAATGGAATACAATATGGTCCTAGAGTCAATTAATTGAAGCTAGATACACTCATCTACTTATCCAGTAGTGATTTATCCTTGGAAACTCTAATCATAGGTTGCTAGTATTATCACCTTTTATGGTTTTCGCAAAGGAAAGGCACTTGTACTAATCAGGGACAGGGAAACTGCTGGGGAGTGGCTGGTCACAGGCCAAGAAACCAAAACCAGCTGGTTCTGGTTTTCCAACACCCTTCAAGGCCACCATTCTCCACCCAAACCTCCACATCTCTTAACCACATTATCATGAACTATACCAAAATGCTTAGAAATGATTGTAGGTCATATCACTAACATCGAATTGAAACTTGAGAAGAACAGAGAGAGCCAAATTATTTCCATGCATATCAGAACTTGTCGGTTCTCATTTTCAATCCAAAAATGTTTTCTGCTCCTACTGTCATCCAAGTATTGAGCCAGAGTGTATTAGCTGATTTGTCAATTGGAAGTTGTCACTGAGCTGCACATGTGCAAAATGGTTTATAACTGATCTATTTTATTTATAAATTGATCAAACCACAAGGATCTATTTCTGTGAAATAAATTGTAGATACACTTCTCTGAAGTTTCATATTATAATATCTTGAATTATTATGGGCTTATGTCTGCTGCCATGTGGTTCATTTGATCCTCTTTTTCGTATGCATTTTGATAGTTTTATCTTTGTTTTTGTGTTTCCATGTTTGTTGTCGTCTTATTATTTGATCTTTTGTAGGGAGAGAAGATGGTGCTTATTGCATGTGGATGGCGCCATACAATTACTGTTTCTTCCTCTGGTAGTTTGTATACTTATGGTTGGAGCAAATATGGTCAACTAGGGCATGGTGATTTTGAAGATCATTTAGTTCCACATAAACTAGAGGCCTTAAAGGATAGCTCTATATCGCAGGTACACTCGCTAGCACTAACAATATTCTGGGAACTATGCTGAAGTTCTTGGCCTGTTTCCTCTGATGATTGTCAGTATATATTTGCCCTTTTCTCTTGGAATTTCACACGTCTTATTTACAAAGTATTCTACTAATTTAGATTTCAGGTGGATGGAGGCATACAATGGCGCTTACATCAGATGGAAAGCTTTATGGTTGGGGGTGGAACAAGGTAGGTCATTATCTATGTGCCTCTACTTATATTTTTGTCCCAGGTTTATTGTCTTGTTAGAAATCAACTGCACGATCAAAGCCTTCCAATTTCATGGTTTTATTGATTCTATAGCCTGGTGCCTATAAAAGAAAATGAGAAATTCTAAGAATCTTGTATGCACTTGTGTAGTTTCTCTTCCATGGTGAATAAATGTCATGATGATTGGAAATCTCTTAACAAACAAAAGAAGACGAACAATATTTTCTCCCGAACTTAACAAGCTGAGTTTCAACCTTCGGGATATCAACACTTTTTTTCTTTCTGTGAGCATCATGGGCCTCTTGGCAAATCATGCACCCATTTCGACTTCCACCAGTACCATCCACTGCGAGTCCATTGTCTAAGGGACTAAAAGACGCTTCATGCTCCCCAAACCCCCCTGCTATCATCCACCCCAGACCTGATGCTGACTTGTGCCAACTAACTGGAAACATTTTGTGGCATTCTTTTACAAGTCAATTTTGAGGTAACGTGAGTTACGTGATTAGTGATAAGCTCAGGTTGTCTTTATCACTAAGCATAGCTCTGATTTGTATACGGAGCCTAGCTTGCTTGAGTTCCAGTTCTACCGGCTGCAGTCCTAGATATACCATCAGTTTGACATATAATGTTTCAAAAATGTTTACTTTCTTTTGAACTGGTAATTTACCATTGTTTTTACTGATTCTACCTCATACTTCGGATATGCAGTTTGGGCAAGTCGGAGTTGGTGATACTGATGATCACTGTTTCCCAGTACAGGTCAAGTTTCCAGAGGATCAGGTATGGCATATATCTGGAGGAATAAATGAACTATTGAAGCATACAAGTCATAATCACAATATTTATGCTCAATCAAGAACTTGATGTTCCATTTCTTGTGTTGTTGCTGCAGAAAGTTGCCCAAGTTGCTTGCGGGTGGAGGCATACTCTTGCATTTACAGAAAAGAAAAATGTTTTCTCATGGGGGAGGGGTACTAGCGGACAACTTGGTCATGGTGAAATAGTTGACAGGTGTTTCCTATCAATATTTCTGTACCCATAATATCTTGCTCCCAAAATGAATCATTTTTGGTCTTCTGTAAATTAACAATCTACCATTCTGAATCTGAAGGAACAAACCTGTGATGATTGATGCCTTAAGCCCGGATGGTCCTGGCTGCAAGAAATTAGAGCCATCAACAGCTGTACCATTTGCAGGTTGGTCCCAACGTGTTCTAGCTATTGCAGCTTGCCAGCTTGCAGATACTAGCAGTTGCATGACTAATGGTGCTTTCTGCTGTTTTCAGCCAAAGTCTGGGTCTCGCCATCAGAAAGATATGCCATTGTTCCTGATGAAAAAGTGAGTTCCTTTGTGTACTTGAAGCCCTTTATTCTCCCACAAGAACACGAACAGTTAAAATCAAACCATTACACGGCACTTATAATCTGATACTATACTAGAACTGTTACTGAAGTTCTTTTCCTTCTTTACCTGTAGGTTCCAAATTCAGGTGAAGGCACGGCACGAGGCAACGGGGCGGACGCAAATGTACCAGAGAACGATGTAAAGAGGATGCGTGTGCATTCGTAGGGGCCTGGACCTCCCAATTTAACTCCCTAGTACACTATCCAAAAACCCCCTATGTGCAACTGTTTCACCGCACGTTTCCATCCAGTGCTGTCCCATTTTTGTGCATCCCATTCTGCCCAAGTGATGATTTCCACGAACCCCTCCTGGTGTTGTTGAGATCCAGTACCTATTAGGGTTATCGCAGCTGCCACTGTCTGTAATCGATCACCTGCTTAGAGGTGATTTTAGCAAAAAACCAACCTGCACCGTTGTGGACATGTGTTTGGAATGTTTTTAACTTCTGTTGGAAGATGCAATAAGTGCTTGGTTCTGATCTCTTGATGATTTGTCACTAAAGAATCTCCCCTTCTGATAATCACTGAGAATATAGGTGTTCGCAAACTTTTCAGAAGTGGCAAACCGGAAGAGAACTTGTGAAACGGCACGCTTTTCCAAGTGATACAACTACGCTACAGCCCTATTTGTTTAGACGTTTAGACTTATAAACTAATTTATGAGCTAAAAAAAATCTAAGGGTGTGTTTAGTTCTTTGGGTGTAAATTTTTTGAAGTATACGGACGCACATTTCAATTATTAAACGTAAACTAATAACAAAACAAATTATAGATTTCGTATGTAAACTGCGAGACGAATTTGATAAGCTTAATTAATCCGTCATTAGTAAATGTTTACTGTAGCATCACATTGTCAAATCATGGCGTAATTAGGCTCAAAAGATTTACCTCGCATTTTACATGCAAACTGTGCAATCGATTTTTTTTCCACGTTTAATGTCCCATGCATGTCCATCGGCGGGAGCGCCACCGGCCGTGTCCCGTAGGTCCATTACACGGGAGCGCCGCCGACCGTGTCCCGGCCGTGCTGCTCGCCCTCGCCGGTTGAGTCTCGGCCGTGCCGCTCGCCCTCGCTGGCGCTGGCCCATAAGAGGGGGTCGCCCACCAAAAGCGAGAAGCTTGGAAGAGAAATGGGGAAGGGCAAGGTGAATTCCTCATTGTCGCTGCCGGCCGCGGTGGGTGGTGGCGATGGCGGCGCTCGGGGCGGAGAGGAAGGAGGTGCTCGCGTCGAAGGGCCGCGGCCGACGATGAGCGCGCAGGGAGATCCTCTTTGCCGTCGCCGTCGCTGCCACCCTCCTTCAGGGCATTGCCACCGTGGGCCGCCTCCTCTCTCGCCTCACCCAGCCAGCGTCGCACCCGCCACTTCCCCCTGCCTAGCGCCGCCGTGTCGCTCGTCACCGGCCGCCGGCGGACCTGCTCCTCTCCCACCTCTCCCCGCTGGCCTCCTACGCACATGCCGGCCGACTACCCTGGAACGGCGAGAAAAGAGAGATAAGGGAAGGGAGAGAAGAGGGAGAAAGGTGATGATGTGGTCGCCCTGACACGTGGGGCCCACATGGGTCTCACGCTGACTTGATCGGCACGTCGGACAAAAACCACCGAAGGATTTAAAGTGAACAGTTTTATAATTTGAGGGATATCATATATCTGGTTTTGTGATTAGGGGACGATTTTGTATCTTGATGACAAATAGAGGGACCTTTGGTATACTTTTTCCCCGTGAATTTAATTTCCCGGCCCGGCCACTACAGTGAGATAAGCGGCCCAGCCGGCCTGGCCTCCGGCGCTCGCGCGATCGTCTACAAAGCCGAGCCGAGGTGGGCGCGCGCGATCGCGTCCCGTCTCCCGTTGGGCTCGATCGGTCGCGTTTCGCGTGGTTGGTGCATTTGGCAGCTGAGGCGGGGCGACGACGACGACGACGTGACCGCCTCACACCGGGCGGAGTGGGAGAAGCGAAGCGGGCAGGAGATCGAGGAGCACCGGAGCGGAGCACGTCGCGCGCGGGGCGGTGCGTGCGCGGTGGGGGGACGTACGGGAAAGTGATGTGATGTGATCCGCGGTGGCGCCGCGCGCGCGCCCGCCTGCCGATCTCTAGCTCGGTGCTCTTGAAAACGAACGAGAAAGGTTTCGGCCGGTCGGCGCGAAACGGGCCGGGCCGATCAGCTAGAGCTACAAAAGACTTTAAAAGACACCGTTAGGAACATGAAAGAATTAATGAACTTACGAACGGACTGTCGTCGCGAGCGTTGGTTAAATTGTCAGACAAAGGCAGTCGAGAAGGGTGTGATTGTGAAGCATATACGATTTCCCCGTACGTTCAGGGTTGCATCCAGCGTGTACCGTTTCTACTACACAGCTGCGCAGTCTGCAGACCCTTCCATTTAATTTTGTGAATAAGAAAAAGAACATGTTAAGATGAGAGCCCTAGACGGGCGACAGCCACAGCTGCGGGTGCCCCAGCCAGCCAGCATCACGCCATTACGCACCCGCAAAGCACAGCCCAAATGAATCTTATATACACGGTCGGCCACCACACCGGGACCCCGGACCCCCCCACACTCTCCCCTCGTTTCCAAGGAGACGCCCCACACCACCACACATCCACACGCCCAACCAAGACGCCCGGTCGATCAGTCCCCACATGCAGCGTACTACGTACGTGCGTGACTAGTTGTCGTCGTAAGTTCACCCCCAACACTCGTCGACGCCCAAGTTCGCCGCGCGGCGCGGGCGCGGGTACCAGCCAAGGGGCAGCGTCACAGGCTCACCTCTCACAGCAGGCTGATGCGACGGCGAAGCGCAACGTGGCAACGTACCACCCACCCTCAACACCGTCCAAAAATGTAAATGCTTTCTCTAGTTTTTTTTTACGAAGATTAAAGTGAGATGTAAAATTAAACGAGAAATAATTATGATGGGTTGAGATGAATAAATAAATAAATTAAACAATAAGAGATATTTGTTTAAGATAATTAACTGAGTAGCTAGTCATAAGTAGCCACTCACCCGTCCAAAAACATAAGGGCGGTCCAACCTCATAAGTAGAGTACTCAATTTATCAAATGGACGCTACTTTATGGTATGTATTAGCTCAATAACCAACTCCTTCCTTTGTCATAAAATATATAGTAATATACTCAATTAAACATCATCAAGTATTATAAATATTGATAAATTGTGTATAGATTTATAGTATTAGTATCTAATTGGTTATTTTTTCTATTAATGTTTATGGTCATTAGGATTTGAACTCTTATGAGCACACACGACTCTACCACAGCACCAATTGTTCATTCTCGTGTCTAATCAAATATTTGGTTACTATATTCTAGAATGGTAGAGTAACAATTAGACCAATCAGGAATGGTCCTTCAGTTCAATGACCGATATGATGGTTTATCTTGTTCCTTAACTGGTTTTAAAACTATCGTAAACCCTTATATATATATATATATTTTGAAACGTTGGGAATATATATATATATATATATATATATATATATATATATATATATATATATATATATGTTTGGGATGAAATTGGAAGTAATTATAATTTTCTTTTGACGGCGAGAATACGTACACAGGAGTAGTATGTCTGTTACATGGCCCAGCATGCATGCGCGCGTACAAAGTAGCGGTACTACGTTCGGTAGCTAGCTAGCTTGTGTTGTAAGCTTTCTAACGGCCGGCCGGCACAGTTGCGCAGTGACGCCTCTTCCTCGTCCTGTCGGTAGATCCGTGCACCGCAGATCTACCCACCCCTGCTTCCGCTTTGTCGCCACGCCCGTACGTACGCTGTTATACTATCTACCGCCTTCGGTTGTGACTTGTGCCTGTGGTTCTTTGCATGGCATATGCCACTCTGCCATTGGCACGCGCGCACACGCTAGGCGATGGCGCACACCCACTGCCCCCATTATATAACAATTTTATATCGAATTCGACATATTTTAATTCTATGAATTTAGACAAAAATATATTTAGATTCGTGATAACATGATACGTCAATCTGATATTTCCTTCGTTTCACAATGTAAGTCATTCTATCATTTTTCACATTAAACATTAATATGAATATAGAAAATATTATAATGACTTACATTATGAAACGGAGAGAGTACTTGCTATATATTGAGCTGTAGGGAGTATTTGCTATTAGTACTAGCTGGCAGCATTTTTACCGTACGTAATTAGGACGACCTGTTGAGCAACTATTTTTACCGTACTTTGGAGCGTTTTCGAAGTAACCAGGGGTTTGTACCAGCACTCGAAGATAAAATAGTTTATTGTAGTGTTAAGTTATGCTTAAGTCTCACGGTACTTTAAAAAAGAATTTATATGAATTATACCTCTCGTTGCAGAGGAAGTCCTAAAAGCGAAACACCAAGGACGATTTATATATGTAAAAAAAACATAGGATGAATTTAAGTGCCATGCATGGGTATTTTATAATTTTTTTTAATAAAATGTACCAGTATATTACGAAATTACCTGTAATATCTGATAGGTCTGATATTCTTTTTAAAAAAATTTCTGACCAATATGACATTGTATATGTGAATTGAGTGTAACTTGGTTTTCTCGTGGTAAAATTAACCTATCTGCGGGGATTCGAGTATCCAAAAAATCAACTTAGCATGGACACATATATTAGTAAAAAGATGTCTATGCTAAACTCATCAGTGTTAAGATATACCGATTTATTCTATCTCGAACAAGTTCGTAGGAGTGGTGACAGCTAAACGCATATAATAAATTCATCAATCTCTCGAATGTGCATATAGGAATGGTGAACATGTCAACTTGTGTAATCATAAGGGTAAAAGAGTAAGTACTTGCGTTCGCGTTTTTACCGTGTTTCTTTAAAAAAATACAGTTGAAAGCAAAACTATATTTTAAAACACGACAGTTTGCATGAAAAACTAGCAAGAGTAAACACTACCGTACTTACTACTACTGTTTACTGTTAAGCTGTAGCCACCTAAAGAGCAAGCTAGGGCCACACCCACACTGACACACATATACAAGCCAGAGAGATTGATTAATATCCCTGTCGCAAAACAGCGTGGCATTTCACCAATTTTTCTACACGCAAACCGCAGTGTCTAACAGATGATGGACGACTTCACCTTCCCTATAACCGCAGCAGCAGCAGCAGCGGCGGCAGATACCGCCGCCGCCGCCGCCGCAGCAGCAGAGCCCCTCCGCCTCCACCACCACCACCACCACCATCGCCGCCGCGGCCGCCTCCACTTCGCCGCCTCGCCGCTCTGGTTCCCTTCCTCCTGCCCCGTCGCCGCCGCGCCACCTGACGTGCCGGTGGCCGACGACGCCGACACCGCCGACGCCGCCGTGGCGAGCGCCGTCAAAGACGTCGACGTCGTCGTCTTCGTCCGAGACGCCATGGAAGGCAAAGAACAAGAACAAGAAGATGAAGAAGGAGGAGGAGGCGGTCAAGAAGAAGCGACGTCGGACGCCGGGCGGCGGGAGGAGGAGGAGGGGAAGAAAGAGGAGGAGGCGACAGCAGCAGCAGCAGCAACAGGAGAGCTCTCGCGCGGCGACGGCGACGAGGACGGCGGCGACCATGGCGGCGGTGGCGCGGCGCGCGACAAGGAGGAGAAGATGGACCAGCTGTGGGAGAACTTCAACGAGGAGCTCCGCCAGGCGCTGCACCAGCGGGTGGGCTCGTGCCCCCGCGCGGACGCGCGGGCGGCGGCGGCGGCCGGGATGGAGCTGTCGCCGGAGACGTCGGACGCAGAGTCGGAGCCGGCGGCGGCGGCGGCGCTGCGCGGGCACATCGGGTGCGCGCCGATGCTGCGGCCCTCGTCGAGGGCCGGCGCCGGCGGCTACCGCCGGACGGCCACCAGCTGGGTGCTGCTCATGAAGATCTTCAGGAGGCTCTTCGTCATCGAGAAGACCATCTCGTCGTCGTCGTCGGCGGCGGCGTCGGCGTCCGGCCGCCATGGGAGTGCGCGCCGGTGATGCCGCCATCATTAATTCACGATCAGCGCGCGGCATCCGTACTGCTCTTTGCACGATTAATCGCCTGCAATTAATTAAGAAGCATCGCTAGCTTCTGATGATGCTAATTAAACTGCAGTTAAGTAAATTATAGGCACACGTACGTACGAATTGCTCCTGCATGCTGATAACGCCATGTAGCTAGATAGGGTTTGTTCAGCAGATACAAGGGACTGAGGGAGCTAGTTAAGCATCACTTGAATTTTGAATTCTTCAGTTTTTTTTACAGTAATTTATTTGAATTACAACATTTTTTCTTTCTTTCTTCCTGTGCTCTCGAATTATACCATGATTTCAGGTAGGCTGAAGGGCACTGCTACATTATGCATACTGATTTTATTTAGGCCTGTTTGGGGAATTAGCGAGATTCCAGGAAATAATCGGTATCCATCCGGTGATAATCTGGAACCCAACGTGGCACGTTTAGATTAGTTATATTATAAATTATTTCATCCAATTCCACATTGTTATATCATGGGATGTAAGGAGTAGTTCGAAGCTGTTCAGATTGGAACCAAAATAAACCTTATCAAATTTTGACAAGTTAGACAATATTATCAAAATTTTGGCAGGATTTAAGTCTGGCAACAAACTAAATATATGTACTTTTTTTAATAACTTTGTCAAAAAAAATGGTAAGGTTGAAAATGATATCAATCTGAACGGCCCATTCATTTCGAGAATTTTGGCATTTTGTAGCTATTGAGGCTCGGAATCTCCCCAAACCTGACTTAAAAGCATCGCTTCCTTCTCATGCAAATGGTAGGGTGAATTGCAACTAATTCTAGCTTGGTATACTAGCTGTCATCTTAATCGAACATTAACATGGAACTGAATATGGAATTCATTTTCCAGGTCTTCTTCAATGCTAGCTAGTAGTAATAGATCATTTAATTATCACATAATCTGCGTTAACATAATCAGAAGAGATCAAGACCTACCCAGATTCCTTTTATCTCTATTGGTCACGAGATGCTGTCATGATTTGTGACAATATCATCTTTGGATCTGGACAAGGAAAGGTGTACGGCCTTTTAGAGGTCACTTTTTTTGTGGGGGAAGAAAAAGCTTCCGTACTGTGCTTAGTAGGAGAAATGGAGGATGCGTGTTTAATTTAGGTTTCTCATATAGGGACAGGGGATTAATTCGGGGCACTAAAGGCCAAAAGAGATCAAGGACAGGGACATCCAACCTCCAACCTGATTAGAGCAGTAATGAATCTCTGCTCCTAAGCTATAGAAGCTCCTGAAGACAGGTGAGCACCGAGTTGAGTAAAAATGGGAGAAAGCATTTGATTGTACCAGTTCAGAGTAGATTCAGTTGCAGTGCTGCATCAAACAAAATGACAGCATATTGTTAAACCAACTGGTGTAACTGGAGTTTAAGGTTTGTGATTTCTGGACTACACCCTCTGTCCCAAAATATAGCAATTCTTGGCTACGAATCTGGACATAGGTTATGTCCAGGTTTGTAAGCAGGAATTGGTTTATTTTAAGATGAAGTATCTTTTAAGAAAGGTAAACCAGCAAGTTAAATTAGAGCTGAAGTGACGGGCAACTTGAAAATCTCACAATGAAGGATCTGAGGTACAATTGCCAGTTCAATTAGCACTGGGAGGAACAGAACAGTTGTTGTACAATCTAGAAACCTAACCTAAATGAATCTCCCAATTGATGTCAACCAACAGCTAGAGGCTAGAGCAGACAACCCACAAGAAATTATTTGAAACACAGAAACAAGAATGATTGCAGCTGGCCCTACATTCACCTACTATCTCAGAGCAATGTAGTGCATCCAGATTATATATGCAGTGGATACCATTGTCACCAAACAAATAATACAACAATGATCATATGAACAGAGGGAATCACCCTAGCTGAGGGAAGACTACAGTTATGTAATCGAAGATATTGACACAAATGCAATCTGATTTGAGTACTTAACTACTCTTATTTTCCAGTTGCGTAATTTCTGAGGTCCTGTTTGTATAACTGAAGAGTTGGGTATGAATTTAGGAGGATTTACCCCCATTTTCTGTGAAATCCCTTCATTCCCAATAGGAATTGACCTAAGCAATATAAATAACAGAACCGCCATCAATCTATGCGTTTGAGATGGACACGATCCTATTTTAGAACAATATACAGCACTGACAGCGTATGACAAGGTCTAGATAGTAAAGAGTTTGACATGATCATTTTGGTATCTAGGAAAACCTCATAGTTTGCTAGATACAGCGAGGTACTTGGTATGGCGGGCCTGCGCTATCAATTTGCCTGTCTTTTTCTTCCTGAAATCAACAGAGACAACACCGACTGATTTTCCAGCGCGCAACAGCTTTCCCTCAACCTCTATTTCTTCCTGGAAAATTACCAAAGTAAAAGCAGTTAATGGAAATGTCAAACAACTTCTTGAGTCAACACAGTAGTGGAAAGCGAAGATAATTGGAAAATTAAAAACACCTTGTCATAAGAATCAGAAGAAATTAACCAAATCTACATTTTTTTCATCCAATTTCGAGCCAATTAACAAGCTATATATATTTTTTCACAAAATAATGGACAGGTAGAAACAATTGGTGTGGTTACCTCTTATATTCGACCAGGCATTTTGCCAGCAACACTGCTAGTCAAATTCTAATATCCTGTACTGGTACCAGGAACGATGTTTTAGCCAGCAAGTTTTGATCTCAACTTATCCTTGAGTGCCAACAAAGGAAAAAGGAAATCACAAAAGGAATGCAGGCGCATTCACTTCTAGTCCTGAACCACCCCTTTTGCCTAGAGACTACACACCTATTGTCCTACAGTAGAAAAGTGACCTAAAGGTGAAAGGTAAGAAGTAATGACCCTTTTTTTTAATCTAAACAATTGGGCTGTCATCCTCCATGTTCACCAACGTTAACCCATTAGAATACTACCTTCCACCTTTCTAGACAAATACAAATATGAGATTGCAAAAAACTTTAGGGAGTTTTTTTTTAATCTGCTGAATATTTACTTATTCCAAAGAAGAAATAGCACGCTTGCACATTATCTCATGTCCCAAGACAGTCCTAGAATTTATTGTGCCCGTTTATGGAAGATATTGAAGCACACATGTGCATATGCACTATTCTTGAGCACATAAGGCTCAAGGTCATTACTCTTCACAACACTATTTCCATCAACTTATATACTTCCACATACAACAATAGTTAAGCATATCAAACAGTGAAAAATGGACACGTAGGTGGAGGAAATGAAGAGATTAGAAGTACACTGTTTAGATATGCTATCAGAATACCAAAGCACCGTCACTCAATGATTAATATGAAAATAATGCAGGAAAAATGCATTCAAATTCATTACAAGAAGTATTACAAGTCCAAGAGACATCCAACATCCAAGATGGGCAAATCACTAAGAAAATTGCATTCAAATCACCATAAGAGAACCACAAATCACAAAAATGTGTCCTAACTAATAACTAGATTAAAGACACAGACTTTAGATTGATGTGACCACACTTACGGAAAATAACTCCAACATGATGATCACCAATGGCACAATTGGAGCCTCTGTTTATTATGAATATGTTTAATCTCTCATGAGGAAGTACTGATAATACTCTGATGAATGCTGTGCCACACCCTAACAACAGCAAAGTACTTGCGCTATAAAAAGCTGTATGCACCCTAAAAAAATCCATGAGCCCACACACAAAATATCTGATTTAGGCAGAATCTTAATTTATGTCATGGAGCCAGAAAACTAGGAGAATTCAACAACTTCCATCAAGTTCAAAGTAATTGTTACCCTGGTTCACCCCTAGTTCCTGCTTTGAGCAATTCTTACAAAGGAAAACCAACTACTACTACATATTCTCTCCCTCTCTCTCTCTCTTTGGGGTACTCAGTGGCAGATTCAGCTAAGACGCAAAGCTGTCCTTAACAACTGCTGTAGCACTCGTACCAACCATCCACGACAACAACCTCATGCCCTCATTTGGCATTCACCTGCAAAGCATCCCAGCATCGTGACAGAACTTGATCAAGGATCACTAATACAAACAACAAGAACGCTAGACACCTGCAATAGTTTTAACCAACCGCAATGGTATTATTGTTGGGTACCACTCCCCCTTCCTTGCCAAACGTGACTGCCAAACACGAGCCCACTCGGAGAAAAGCCTCGCAACTACTTGCCTAATCTCATTGTTTCAGGCTCCCAGCAATTCGGCGAGGCCTAATTTGACAAATAAGCACCAAATGCACAAAATTTCGACAGAACCGCAGCATCGACGGCACAATTTGTTTTCACCTACTTAGCCCCAAATTAGTTGATTGCACATTTACACAGACAAACAGGATCAAAAATTTGTACTAACTGGCAATTGGGAAGAGAATCCTTGGTCTCACCCCGATGCTGGCCACGTCGACGTAGGAGAGGTTGAGCTCGAGCGAGACACCGCTCGTCCCGATCCCGCTGGAGAGGAACACGCCCGACCCGAGCTGGTCGGCGAGCGTCGCCGTGACGCCGCTGAGGAGGTACCCCGCCGGGCTCTGCCAAAAAACCACCACGCGCGTCCGCGCCGTCACCATCTCAGACCCACCGAAGCTTATTAGGGTTTGGGAGGGAGTGGGAGAGGGGGGGGGGGCTGCGGGCGCTTACGGCGATGCGCGGGGTGACGACGAAGGAGCAGAGGAGGCGGCCGTGCTCGGCCGCGTCGATGCGGACGCCGGTGAGGGCGAAGGCGTCGTAGCGCAGGCTCGCGGAGGCGGGGCCGACGACCTCCTTGGACAAGGCGGTGGGCTCGAGGCTCCTCCGCACCGCTTCCGGGTCCATCTCTACGGCGGCGGCGGCGGCGATCCGGCCGGCCGGCGACGAGGTCGCGCGCCCGGATCCGACAAGGGGACACGGGTTGGGTTGGTAACTCCACTAGCTAACCGCCACGCGACTTCCCCAAACGATGGTGAGGCTTGCTTCTGTGGAGGGTGTTCCATTTACCCGTTTCGAGAGTTTTACCGCCGGTTTACCGCACCCGAAGGTAAGCCTATTTACGCATTGTTTGGTTAGGCTTGGATTCAATTCGGGCCGGGAATAAGTATAGTAAAAAATTTATGAATGATACAATAAGAAACCGAAATTTATTTCGGGCCGAGAATCAATTTACTCATGATAGGGACAATAAGAGATCGGGATTAGTTCCACATCTCTTGACTAGTGGATTGATTCCTGGTCTCTTATTGCCCCTATCATGAGTAAATTGGTTTTCAGCCCGAAATAAATCTCGGTCTCTTATTGTATCTATCATAAATTTTTTACTATACTTGTCATTCCCGGCCCGGATTGAATCGAAGCGTAACCGAACAAGGCCTTACTACGCAACCGAGAAAAAACCAAATACCCACTTCATTTTATATTATTAATCATTTTAACTTCTTTTCTAATTAAACTTCTTTTGAATTTATCAAATCAATAGAAAAATTTAATAACATCTACGACAATGAAATAGTTTCAGTAAAACTAATATTTAATATAGTTTAATAGTAATATGTTTGTTTTGGGTTAGAAATGTTGCTATTATTTTCTATAAATTTAGTTAAATTTTAAAAAGTTTGATAAAAAAATCAAAACGACTAATAATATGGAACGGAGGGACCGAGGGAGTATTGACAATTTACTAATTCGGTCCCAAAATATAGTAATGTAAAGTAAGTGCAATTATATCCATTCTAGTGCTACAAATATTTCTAGGACTACAAATCGGAACTGATTCGTACTACGTAGATTGATGGTCCAAATTTCTAATCTCATCCTATATTGCTATATTTTGAGATGGGGCCATGAAGGTAGTAAAATTTTAAATTTTTGTTTAACTTTTTTTTAAAGCTTAGGGGTTACTTGCTGGGTCCATATTTCCGATTGAGCACGGGATCCTGACCCATGACGGTATGACAACTTTCACCAAATCTTAATTAAATTTCGATCTAAATTACTGTTTTAAACTTGAATTCCCCAAAAACATTCAAAATCTTACTCGGAATATGTTTTCAGTACCCGGAATGGTGTTTGTGAGGCGGACAGGTGGGACCGGCGGGCCACGAATGAGCTGACAAGTAGGTCCAGCCAGGCACTATTCCTGATCCAATGGCTTTGTGTGAGACTGAAGCTACATTTGAACTGCTTTTCAGTACAGATCAGATCGGCCTTAATTTCCTTTCCCTTCAAGTCATAGCAATGCCGGAAATGTTTCTAATGAAACGAACGCCCAGATGTTCAACGGAACAAAAGACGAACTGTATTGAATTATTCAATGCAATTAAGTTTAGACAGCAGATTTCCAACAAACTGACTAGTATAGTTCACAAATTTCGAACAAAATGGCTAGTGTTCCTGTAAGAGAATGGTGACAAGACTGACCAAACTCAAACTTGGTTGGGTCACGGGTCATATTTAACCCACTCTGAATTTCTATCCATCTTGCTGAACAACTGCACTGCATACTCATTTTCAGTAGTCTCTGTTGTATGCAGTGTAGAGACCATCAGTGTCCTGCACAACACAGGTGCCTCTGAGCATTAAATTTTGCAAAGCAAGATACAGGGCAAAATACATGGAATGCTGGAAAAGAAATTAAAGATGCATACAGCACCTTGATCAGAGTTCATCTTTAACAGGCTCTGATGATGATGTTACCTCCTCTTCCACAGCATCAATCTGGGTTTTCTCATCCACTGCAGCAGCTGCACCAGCTTTCGGTCCCCTGTTCTCGTTGATAAAACTGATGATCTCCTCAGCTGTCCTTGCACCGTCGTACGACAAAAGGTTCCCACTTGATGAATAGAAGTAGATAGTTGGATATCCCTCAACCGTGAAGTCTGTTGGTATATCGTTCACAGTTCCATCCTGCAAAACCGTAGGCATTGATTTCCATAACACAAAAGGTATGAATAAACGATCCGCAACAACAGCGAGGAATATAAAGTCATCAACTCAAGACGAAGTACCATCTTTGCTATCACTATATCTTGGTCATCTTGCAATGACACTGCAATTTCCTCCAGGATCAGGGCAAACTTGCGGCAATGGCCACACCAAGGTGCATAGAACTCAAGCAAAACTGCAACGAAATTGATGTCATGCAGTGGTGAAACAAACAATCAAATAGAACATACCAAAATATCGAATGGAACTACTCAGAAAATGATACTGCTCGCAACCATTGAAATGAAAACATACCATTTTTGCCAGAGTTGAAAACAATGTCATCTATATTGTCGGCCACAACAACCTTAACAGGTTGGTCATTCACCTTAGGGATAGGCTCTGACTTAACGTATGGTGTCAAGTTGCCATACTACATGGACCAAAATCAGAATAGAAACTAACATACGTTAGAAATGAGTGGGCATGAAGTACCCTGAAATAAAATAAGTAATTGATCAACACAGTAAAGTAGAGTAAGCCTCAACTATGTACTGCTTCAGCCAGGGTATGATCTGATCAGGATCCATTGTTGGATTGAGATATTTTCCAGTAGATGCTATCACGAAAAGGAGGGGCACATCACTTTCTCTGAGCCCAAAGTACTGAAAGGGTGGATGTGGAAGCTCATAAGTGGAAGTTCTAAGTTCTAAGAATCCTTCACAAGGAAGTGCTGAGTGGTACAAACAATAACCTGGAAGACACGATCAGCGTCTGCAACATCACCAATTAAAAAACTTATGTTATTACCACTGAATTTCCTGGCCGCTTCATGAATCTGGCTCTTGAAGGACTCGATTCTGTCATCACCGAAGCTCACGAAAAGCATTGCCTGTCCAATTGTGTTTGAAAGAAAGTAGATCATTGCAGTTATGCAAGAACAATGGTATACCGATGTATCTAGAGGTATACTAGAGGCGTTATACATGCTAGCCATAATGCTGATGCAGGTAAAGAAAATTGAATAATATAACTGAAATGTTCATCGTTCCATATAGCATATATACAGATTAGTTTTAAGAATTAGCATGTGTAGTTGACAATGTATTTTGATGAAACAAACAGAATGTAACAGCTGTTGTGTTTACTCACTTTAGAACTAGGAGTGCTATAGTATCTTTCAAGAAACTTATGGTTGGTTGGATCAGCATCGTAGGTAACAACCATTGGGAAACCAGATACCTCGATAAACTTCTCAAGTGCGTCCTTACCAAAATCCTAATAAAGATGCAGGGTAGAGTGTTACACAGGTTGCTGCACATGCAAGAATTGATCAGCATTCAACTAGTCAGATGAATATACCTCCGAATCAACAAACAGCTCATCAAACGGCTTAAAGAGACGGACAATGGGGCCTTTGACACTCTGATCACCACGTGGCAAAATGCTTGCATCAGACGTGTGGAAAAAATCATAATCTGCTCGCATTTTCTCTGCCACAACCATGAAATTTTCATATTCCATACCAGCAAACTCAGGGAAAACTCCCACCTACAACACAAATTTCAGACACATGCATCACATCCATCAATCTCCCGTAATCCCATTGTTCTGAAGAACACGTAAGCAAACTGAGTAATAATGTGCAAACTTTTTTTGCGAATACAATGGGCAAACTTACAAGGATCACCCCCTTGTCGACGACGGAATGGGCCGCCTCTTCTGCTGATTCAAGCTTGAGGGATGCTGGGCCGACCTGCCTCTTAAGGTACTCCACGATGCCATCGGCCTCCCTTGGGCCACCGTAGCCACGCACGTCGCTCCCCCCATTCTTCATGATCTTTATTGTTGGGTATGAATACACCCCATACTTATCCTTCAGCTCTTTGTTCCTCTCGTTGTATGCGTCCACCTTCGCGAGTACCACTGGCAGCTCGTTCTTCCTCAGAATGGAGGCTGCCTTTTCGTACTACATTGCATCATATCAATATATCACATAAATAGCACAAACTACATTCACCTTGATGTTGAAACGTCCATGGTGCTGACTGCTGAAAGTATCAAAGTAGTCGGTTACCTCTGGGGCGAGTTGCTTGCAGTGACCACACCTGTGAGCACGTAGTTACCAGTTAGCCACTGTTCGGCGAATGAGTGTGATGCTGTGATACTGTACTAGCTGCTCAGAGAAGTGAGTGAACTGTACCATGGGGCATAGAACTTGACGACAATGAACGGGTGCTTGGCCACCACCTCCGAGAAGTTGCCCGCATCCAGCGTTAGGACCGCCTCCTTCAGCTCCTCGGTGGCATCCACACCAACCGCGGTAGGGCTGGAGGATATCAGAATGGCAAGGGCAAAAGACAGCACCAGGTTGACAGCCATTGCTTAATCTGTAACTAACAAGTTTCCCAGGATCTCCACTAGGAAGGGGAGGCCAACTTTACTCAAGCTAATATAACCATATAGATCAGGGGAGTTGAGTGATGATGCACTAGCAGAGATCTCGAGGAAGTCAATGGGAGCTTCTTTGCTAATTTCTAGCTTTTCTTTGACTCCATGTTCCTGACCTTTGCTTATAGAAGACACTAATTAAGTATCTTTTCCATCATCTTTCTTATTTTTCAGGTAGTAAACATCATCTGCAAACATGTACTATTGCTTACTGTATAACCAACAATAGCTGAAAGCAGATGACTTTCTGTACAGAAATTTCAGTACCAGAATTTGGCTATCAGATTGCATGGTATATATTGCTTTGTCTGCAAGTAGCATTTCACCTTTATATAGTGAGTTCAAGGAAGCAACTCATATCCATCATGGCATTCCCATTTTCAAGTTCCCAATACTTGTCAGAAGAATTTCAGTTTTAGAATCATAGTCTGGATCATAAATGTCTGTCATGCTTTCACCCAAGCAAACTGTGGCACCCAATAACATTGACAATAGATATTCTCTGCTTGCAGATTTCCCCTCTCTGAATTCTACATGTTCCATGATTTTAAATTGCAAAATGTACTACATTCGAGCTCTAGCCACATGCTTCAGAGGAGAAGTTCATCAGGTCATCTGCAATTTCAGCATCTATACTCATCCTGCTCATCTGCATCTGAATGATTCTCAAGGTATCATGTATCTCATTCCTGCATGGATGGATATTATCTCTCGCGAGAAACACATTTACTTTCCTGCCTATCTCAATCCAACTACAGCCAGGTTGCTTGCTAACGCCTCTGTGCTTCATGGATCTCCTCACTCTAAAAACATCTGCCCATTTCCCAAGCTCAGCGTACATATTTGAGAGAAGAACATAGGGTCCAGAGTTATCAGGATCAAGCTCAAATAATTTCCCGGCTGCCCATTCCCCCATGTCAATGTTCTTATGCAGCCTGCAAGCACCTAATAGAGAAGCCCAGAGCACAGCATCAGGTTCCATTGGCATGTTCTCTATGAGCTCCTCAACTTCTTTCAGATGACCGGCACGACCAAGCAAATCAATCATGCAAGTGTAGTGATCTCGGGTTGGAATTATCCCATGATCCTCAGTCATGGACTGAAAGTATCTCCGACCCTCCTTGACCAATCCAGAATGGCCACAGGCAGATAAAACCCCAATCATGGTGACAGAATCTGGGCGTTCGTTGCTGCAAAGCATTCTCTCAAAAAGAAGAAGCGCATCTTTTGCACGGCCATTCTGTGCGTAACCAACAATCATTGCATTCCATGATACATTATCTCTGGCTGCCATCCTCTCGAACACCTTCGCACCATCACTGATGGACCCTGTCTTCAGGTACATGTCCACAAGGGAGTTCCCAACAAAGACATCAGATTCTGGTCCAGAGTCAAAGCGGAAGCCTTCTTTCAGGACATGTACATGAGCTTGCTGACCAAGCTGAAGGTTAGCAAGATTGGCACACGCATTCAGAACATTTCCATACGTGTAATGTGTTGGCCAAACTGACTCTCTTTTCAGCCTGACAAAGAGCCTAAGCGCTTCTTCTTCCTCACTATTATGTGCATATGTTGCAATGAGCACATTCCAAGCAACGACATTCTTCTCCACCATCTGCAAGAACACGGCCTGAGCATCTCCCACATTTGCAGACTTTGCATACCCAGTTATCATTGACGTTTCTGAGACAACACTCCTGATAGCCATGCGATCAAATACACACTTCGCCTCCCAAGTCCTCCCACACTTGGCATACATGTCCACGAGAGCATTGTTCAACACCATGTCCTCCCTAAACCTATCAGACTTCACCATGCGGGTATGGACCTGGCGGCCTTCTCTACCCGCAGCAAGGCCTGCACATGCGCTCATGACGCTTGCAAGTGTCACCTCATCAGGCACAAAACCATCTTTCATCATCCTGACGAAGAGCGCGAGGGCCTCATCGACAGGGCCATTCTGCTCATAGCAAGTGATCAGGCTGTTCCAGGAAACAATATTCCGCTCCGGCATTGCATCGAACACCTTCTGTGCCTCCTCCGGCCGCTCACACTTCGCGTACATGTCCACAAGCGCGGTACCGATGTACACATCGCTCCCGTGAGACGACTTGGTGACAAGGGCGTGCACCTGCTCCCCGGTCCTCGAAGCCTTCTCCGAGGCGCAGGCGCTCAGCGCGCTGGCGAAGGAGTAGGCGTTGAGCACGAAGTCGTCGGCGTGCATGGCGGCCAGGAAGCGGAGCGCGTCGCCGCCGCGGCCGTGCTGCGCGAGCGCCGCGACGACCGCGTTGTAGGAGCACTGGTCGGGGTCCGGGATGGCGCCGAAGAGCGCGAGGGCGTCGTCGGCGCGGCCCAGGCGCGCGCACGCGGAGAGGAGCGCGTTGTAGGAGAAGGTGTTGCGGTGGGGCATCCCGTCGAACACCCTGCGGGCGTCGTGGAGGGAGCCCAGCCGCGCGTACGCGGAGAGGAGGGTGTTGAGGAGGAAGGTCTCGCCGGCGAAGGGGGACCTGAGGGCGCGCGCGTGCGCGGCGCGGGCGGCGCGGAGGCCGGGAGCCGAGCGGAGGAGGTCGGCGAGCGGCGCGGACGCTCGGAGGTGGGAGACGAGGTGGATGCCGGTGTGATGCGGACGCGCCATGCCAGGAGAAGGCGCTGGGGGCGCTGGGCGCGTTTGATATATTCCGTTTACTTTTTTAAACATGTTTGACCGTTCGTCTTGTTCAAAAACTTTTATGAAATATTTAAAATTATATGTATACATAAAAGTATATTTAACAATGAATCATATGATAGGAAAAGAATTAATAAGCGAAGCACTGCAGTTTAAGCTACCGTTTCAGTTTAAAATTTGATTCAAATTTCAAGCTTATCAGTTCATTCAAATTTCAAGCCTATCAGTTCACATTTCACGGTTCAGATAGGAGCTCAGATTTCTTAAGGTTTCAGCCTATCCTCTTTTCATGTTGAAATTCTTCTATTTCTGTTGGTGAGATCTGAGATGTATTATTAGTGTTGAGGGTGTATTTAGTTCTTTGGGTGTAAAGTTGTTGAAGAATACAAACACACATTTGAAGTATTAAACATAGACTAATAACAAAACAAATTACAGATTCCGCATGTAAACTGTGAGATGAATTTATTAAGCATAATTAGTCTGTCGTTGGCAAATATTTACTGTAGCATAATATTGTCAAATCATGGCGTAATTATGCTCAAAAGATTCGTCTCGCAATTTACATGCAAACTGTGTAATTGTTTTTTTCCCCCACATTTAATGCTCCATACATGTGTCCAAACATTTGATGTGACGTTTGAGATCTAAACAAGGCCTCACACAAGAAATCAATTACTTTGTAGATCGTAACTAGCTGCCCTAGCTAGTCATCGCCTGCCGTGGACATGGCAAAGCGTTCGCCCGAATATGTCCATTGTGAAGTTGCTATACGAGGTTGATCCAGGCACCAACGATTTGCCCGTCTATTGTCACCCAGTCAACGCCTATTGCTGCTGGTTGTTCATGCCATTCATCAACCTGCAAGTAAAGTAAAAATAAGCTGATGGAGAGGAGCATAAAGGAAAATATAAACCGTGGGGAATGGACTAATCAGGCAAATGCTATGGTACCCCTTCATACGGATTGGGATCCTCTGACGTGAAGTCAGAGGGACGTGGTGGCTGACATGTGGGCCCCACCGCTTGCGGGCCCACCTGCCAGTGACCACGTCATGTGGCAGTTCACGTCAGAGGAACCACTTCCCCTTCATACATATTTGAGCTGACTGACATGATTATTTGTGCGTATGGGTGGTTCAGTAAGAGTTTCTAACTAAGGTTTACCTTACCATTTTGGAAGTGAAAACTGCTCCCCACCTGTTTGCTGAGAACCGAGTGGAAAACAGTAAAAACCGGCGACGTTCAGTCAACTCTGTACGAAAACCAGCTAAAATCTATCAGTTTCTACAAACTAACCACCAGCGGTTTCACAAAAACCGAGCTCAATTTTGTTAACCCTGTTCTAACACAATGGATAATTTGGATAATAGAATAAGAACTGAAATGAGTTCCCTCAAGAACAATGCGTGGATGAGAACACCCACGCCAGGACTGGACTGAGAATCCTTTCTAGGCCATAATCATTGTTCTCATTCAATCGCAACATGACCGCATTGCCATAATCTAATTGAAGTCTGGCCCTCGGATTGTGTTCTTAAAGGGTTTGTAATGAAGCAAGAAACTTGTAAATACAAGGTAGTTATATACTTACCAAACCCCTAACAGGTTGGCAATCCTCAAAACATCTGAGCCTCTTGAACTGCATTTCTCAGTTCTGACAAACACCGTTCTGATACCATCTTTTCTTGTTCACCACTAAGACAGCAGCTGGCCACCCTATATAAAGGAAACATCAGTAACCATTCTTAAAACGTGCTCGTAGTAAGCTGGAACATAGATTCATTCCACCAAATATAAGAAAATATTCAAGACCAACACAAAAAAAAAGCAGGATTATTTGTGATAAATAAGTGCATCCCAAATTGCAATTCCTGTTTTAGATAGACATCAGCTGCAAATAATTATTTTTCCCTGCGCATCAGCATACTAAATAACATCTTGTGGACTTGTTATCAATTCAAAATTAAGAGTATGGCTTCAGTTCATGAATCCCAACAGTACGCTGCTCAATTGGTAAATGTTACAGCTGGCACAAGCATTATGCAGCACACAGTGAACAAAATGTATTTGAAACGTATGTTAGAATTCTTATTAATAACAAAACCCCCCTTCCAAGAGAACATATGTACTGGTAAAAAATACCCAAAATGAAATACTGTGGTTCTAAGGAACAAGTCAAAAGAGGATGGAAGGGCATAGAAACAAACATTGATACCAGTCCTACATACTGTATACCGACAATCATTGACACACAAGACATGCTTTATGCCAGTAAAGTTCTAGCTGGATTCAGTAAATATCTATTGTTAAGAAAGAAAAAGACTGAGTAAAATTTCGGCGTACCTTTCATATTCCTGTTGAGCACGATGTGCAGGGTTTAGCAAAACACGATCATTCTCAACCAGATTTCTTCGCGTTTGCACCAAATTAATAGCTTTTGATAAATCCTCTAGTAGACATAAGAGCAATGTATCAACAATTAAATCAAGAGAACACGTAGTTGGTTGGGTTGGACATTAGATGGCTTGGAACTATACTATCGAATATTAATTAGCCATTGCTGGCATTACACCTGTTAAAAGGTGTATCTATGTGTAGTGCTATGTATGTACAAGGGAAAACTAGCCTATAATGCCTTCTGGTCCAGTCGCTCTTTTCAGTTCAGGCACCTGATCAAGCTGCGGATCCAGTCACCAGTTTGGTCAGATTTATTAACAGTTGGGAGTGGGTGCTGACTCATGGATATTTGAACAGTCTACTCTTGATAATTGCTGCCTCGTTTTGCCATCAAATGATACCCAGATGTGACTTCTTGCATCATCTGGTATCTGTGGAAGTTGCAAATGTAATGGCAGTTCCAAAAGAATGTGCAAATTTTACCAGTTAGCTAACCAAGTTGTGGTATTGTGGGTTAAAAACAGGAGCTAAAGCTGCTACTAGAGTCTGAGTTACATAGTCATAGTAAACATTATTAATTAAGGATGATAATAAAGGTTGCGTGAAAACATAAACATTTTATCGGCTGTTGAATGTTGATTGCTCCATACCTTCAATTCAAGTCGTGCAGAAATCAGGAAGGATGACAAGTCTAAATGACAATGAGTGCGGGCAGATTGGAGTAAACAGCAAACATGGGACATTTGGATGGACCTAGATAACAAAAGCAACAATGATAATAGTGAATAACTGTCCTGTTCAATTGGCACTGGGTAGCGTGCTTGGAAAAGAAACATTTCCATGGCAGATATGAAAATACTGCAAGCAAAGATCGCAACAAAGGGCCAACACACGCCGATTTGCACGCGTTCGGCTTGCCTTGCTCGAGTGGCCGACTGGATTTTATTGCCCTTGCCACGTGCCCACCAATCAGTTGTAGCTTTATTTCTCTAACCATTAGGCATTGGCAGTTTGGCACAGAAGAATAAGGTTTCATTTTCTAAGATCACAAGTTCTGGATATTACCCTATTAGGTGATACATAATTAGTTGATGTTTTCCTCAAAACAAAATTGGTTGGTGCTTCAGGAAGCAGTCAAGGACATCGCACACGAGTAAATTTATCAAGGGTCATGCACTTGATAAATCAAAATTGGTTGGTCCTAAGTGTGACCTTTTCTTTGGTCTACTGATTATAATCTTCTCGTACATGCTAAATTTCATGTTATATGCCTTGAAGAGACTCTATATATATATACAAAACTGAAAATCATCTTAAAGGATCACAACTGAATTTACATCATCAAATCCAGCGATTGCAACTGAATTTACATGAAATCCAATCCATTAAAGAAATAAATGAATCTGAGTAATTCTCTGGACAGTACACTATGTGCTCACAGTAATCTTTAAAAGCTTCTAAAATCCTCAATACATCAAGTTGAAATTTTGCATAAATAAATACTGTTCTCTAAGAAACAGGAATGAATAATAAGAAATGTCGCAGTAGCATACGAGGCAACTGTGGAGGTGCAATTGGCCGTGCCAAGAAAATGTAGAAATGTGCTATCGGTTGCAACTTAGTGAACAAATCTTGGAGAAGACCAATAGTTTATTCGTTCAGACAAAAATGACAGTTTTAAATTCTATACTGAGCAATGGAATTTTATACAAAACCATATGCCTTTGAAGCATGAAAAAAGGGTTTACTCCTATGACCACCAAGAAAAAGGCAACAGCAAATGAGATTGCAATTTTATACTGATCAATAGGATTTTAGTACTGACCTGCCTATATGAATCACTACAGCCTTTGTTCACTTGGTAAAAGAGTTCACAATTCAATTTAATCTGCTTTGGTCACTACTCATATTGGAGCACTGTTCCACGTCACAATCCTGGGTATTTTGACTCTTAGGTAATAGGCCTAAACATAAAAAAGATTGCACTTATCTTCCCTGAACAACTAAAGGACTCTCTTCTAGTGAACTAATCTATCACCAGGAGTTGTTGAGCTCTAGGTTCAACAGGTTAAAAATACTTCCCTCAAGCACATAGATAAACAACAATCTAAGCAACAGAGCACATGTCAGAACATATACAGCTAGTTGACCCAACAGAGCGCATTCCTAATATCTGACCATGTACCGACTTGGCTACTCTCAGGAATCGCATGGGAATGATTAGAAGAAACCACTGTATACAACTATGATATGAAGTATATGAACTGTTCATACCTAGAACTCTGCATTGCAACAAGATTTGCCTAACCGAACTGATCCATGGAAGCAAACCTGAAAAATGTATCAAGCTTAACCAATGTAAACAAAGAAAAAAATCAAACGGGATGCTCATCACCTGGGATAACACCGGATAGAATATAACCTGCTCACGGCCATCAAGAAAGAATGTCGACGGCAGTGGCATGCATGCCAGGAGATACTTAACGATCTTCTCCACCGAGCAACAGCACAACCCAAGTCATATTAACATGTCGCATGAATCTGGCGAAACCATTGAATGAAGAGCACCCTGAGTTAAATCTTAACAAGAGGGAAATATATCAGGTACAAATAAAGGTTTTATCCTAATGAAATTATGTTGCTAGGCTATCAAGAAAAATAAATTGTATTTACCATTAGCTTCCAGGTGTTGATGATCCATCAATATGACCTGTTTTTTTCTCTCCAGATAAGGGATACCGTTCCTTTCAGCAGATTTTTGTGATCCAAGCTGAGAATTGCCTTTAGAATTGCTGGCATCAGATGTCCTAGGATCAACTGTTGCCCCTGAAGCTTCGATTTACCTTTCCTCAACAGATGTGGTGGCTCCATTGCTGGATGGTTTTCCATTAGTAATACCAGAAGCAACTGATAGAATATAATCACTATCGAAGGATGCCCCAACTTTTCAAGACCATAAAATCTCAGCTGCTTTATAGTCAATGGCTCATTTTGTTCAGCGCTGAGACTCTGTTTTGTCCTTAAGTGGTCAGTAAACTACTCGACCGTCACTGAGGGGTCAGAACAGATTTTGAATATACTCCTTTGCTTCTAAAAATGTCAGGCATCCCATTTGTTTGGGGAAAACATCTCAAGAAGGAAACTGTGCCTCAAGGGGATTACTCTCTAGACTAAAGTTTGACTGAAGTTCTGTCTTGGTGCCATGCAGTTCACCTTGCTCAGTACTTTTGGATACACTTCTATGCCACATCCAGATTATGCAGTGCTGCTTCAATGTCTATGTAACATGTTTCCCTCACCTTCACTGTTCCATCAGATTACAGAAGTGCTGTTTTTGCTACCTTCTGAGGAGAAACCTGGGCTGTTTGTGAGCTCATCTGTAGAGTACTATCAAACTGTTCTACTAAATGCGCCCCCCCCCCAAAGACCCAGAGTCCCAAACAATCTCTCGGTGAACAAGCATAAGTCGTCAGCCATATGTAGCAGAAATTGATAACTACAAATCAAGAACCACCCCGCAGGCAGCGCGCCAAGGACCACTCCGCAGATGTTCGACGAAATGCTCACAAGCTGCAGGCGATCGAACCAACGAACCTGGCAGTCGAGCCCGATCCGCGAGGGGAAGAACGACGCCCACGCGGCGAAGACACCATGCCGCGCGCCGCCGCCACCTCCCGGCGACCCATGAGGCGCACGAAGGGAAGGAGAAGAACGCGGTGGCGACGGGGAAGGGGACGGAGTTGGCCGCGACGGCGTAGACGAGTGAGGCCGTGACGCGGAGGGGATCGGGAGGCGGCGCGGCGCTTCCGCCTCAACTCCGAGCGCCTAAGCCACAGCCGCCGCCCCACCACGCTCGAGCGCTGGCCCTACTCGCCGCCGCATCCACTCGGACTCGCCGTAGCAGCCGCCACCTCGGCCGCCCCGCCACCGCCGGCAGCAACGCCGCCGCGGCGACTGAACGGGGAGAGGGGAATCCACACGTCACACGCCACACGCCTCTCCCCCCTTCCCCAAGTCGACTTGACCCAAAACAAACCGGCCGGCCCGGAGCTAGGTGACTGACAGGTGTGGGCCAATCACCGTAGCGCAGGGCTGGACCCACCTGTCAGCGAAAGTAAACAGAGAGAGCATGACGTGACCTCGCCGGCGCAGCCTCCTCCCTCCGAGAGGGCTGACAGGTGGGCCAACCAACGTCGTCCACATTGGACTGGGCCCACCTGTCAGCGAGATAGATTTGAACTGAGAAGGACCCACCTCGCCGGAGAGAGCACCTCCCCCTATAAAATGCCGGCGCCTCGACCCCTTTCTTCTTCGTGGCTGGCTCGCCAACCAATCGCGCGGCGTGGAAGTGATCGGGTTCGCCGCTTCGAAGTCTCGGAGGCGAGCGGCGTGATCGGGTTCGCCGCGCCGGCGCCTCGGAGGCGAGGAGCGTGACAAGGTGACGCCTCCTCCCGCGGCGCGGCGGCGCATCCTCCTCCTCGGCCGGCCACCACCAGACCAGGTACGAGCCCAACTATCTCATCCCCTCCCTTCCCCTTCTCGGATTGGTTCTCGGTTGCGGTTCACGGAATCACGGGTGCTGGTGGGGGGTCGCGACGAGTGGGTGGTGTTCTCTGGCGAGCGGTACAGCGCCGACGAGTTGGTTGTGTTTTCCGGCGGCGTCGAGTGGGTGGTGTTCTGTTGTTCGTCGCGGCGAGTCCCGTCGAGTCGTGGTGTGGTGTGGACGTGTGGTGTGGTGTCTTCGGGGTGTGGGCTTGGTGGGGGTGAGGTCAGCGTGCTAGGGAAGAAATGGAGGTGAGCGAGCGGTTCGTCTCGGGTGGGTGGTAGCGCGAGGCCGCGTGCGTAGCCAGATTGAGTAGCGATATGGATTGGTCGCCGGAGAGGTGCAAGGGCCAAGGAGGTGGAGGAGTAGGCGATTTGGGGGCGGTGAGGAGCGGCGGGAGAACGAAGGGGAGTCGGCGACGCGGTACGGCCCGTACGGCGTCGACGAGTAGGTGATGTTCTCCGGGGCGGCGAGTCCGCGTCGAGTTGTGGTGTCTTCCGAGTTCGAGTCCGAGAAACGAGATGGTTTACGCGAGTGCAGCGTGGTGGCGGAGGGCGCGTTCGCGGGGAAGCGAATCGCCGTGTGGAGCGGAGACGGTGGGCGGTGGAGGGGTCGGGAATAGCGCGACACGATGCGACTTGGGATGGTGGCATTTCTGGTGTTCGTCGGCGCTCCGGCGCTCGAACAGGAGGGAGGGCGCTGTGTCGTTGGACTGTTGGTACGGCGTGTTTGCCACGTGCGGGCGGCGTAAGCGCGGTGTAGCTAGCTGGGACTGGGAGACGACTGCCGAGTCCGGAGCACAGAAGCCGTATGTGCGGGTGCAAGGGCGGTGCGTTGGGTTGGCGATTGCCACCGGCGTGGTGTAGTCGTGCAGAGGAGGAGTCGAGGAGGCGGGGCCAGTCTAGGTGGCAGGGACCAGGGAGAGTCGAGAGCCAATTCCGTGGCGAAGGTATCGCGTCGCGTCGACGAACAGTGGAGACGCGCGCGCAAGAGGCAGAGCTCCATGACGCGGTGGCGAGGGGCTCGGCGCGCGCGCGCGGAGGCCGAGCGGCGTGGCGCGGTGGCAAGGAGCTCGCGTCGACGATAGAGGCGCGGCGCGTGCACGGAGGCCGAGCGACGTGGCGCGGTGGCGAGGGGATCGCGTCGACGTTGGGTGGAGGCGCGGCGCGCGCACGGAGGTCGAGCGGCGTGGCGCGGTGGCGAAGGGTTCGCGCCGACGCGCTCTGGTGCGCGTCTAATCGAAAACGGCAAACTCGGGGGGTTCAATTTCCCAAGTTCGCAGGCGGCGGATTAGGTTGTCCTCGGTGTGCGCGCTTCGGAGCTACTCCTATATGGCGCGAGCCGGGCGGTTCGCGGCGTCACGTCGAGGCGGAGCTGACGACTCGAAAGTCGAAACCGATAGGGGTTGATCGTGGCGCGAGCACACGATCGACGAGTACACGTGCTGTGTTTGGTTCGCACAGTTTGATGCGCACGCATGCATTGGTGGACTGTATGTCTGTATCGCCGGGCAGGCGTGGCCTTGTGTGCACCCAGCTGCGGGAACACGGGCCGACGGGCGTATTTGGAGCGCGGGACGGTGGGCGTTTGTCCGGTGATCGTCGGGCCACCTTTTCACATACTCCAGCACATTGTTTTAACAAGTTTGCTTGCTCTCTTCTCTTTTATATGTCATTTTTTACTATACACATAAAACTAGACTATCTTATATGTTTTAGGTATGGGATTACTAAAATTATAAGATCATATGATAATTGTGTCATTAGGATATTATTCATGGGAGTGGATGTTAAGTAGTAAGTGAAATAACTTTCTCTAAAATATGGTGAATGCGATATGATTGTTTTGTTAAAATTGAAAAGTAGGCATTGGATTTCGTGCATTAGCGAGTATTTGTACTTTTTTTTTGTTAAACTCAAACACTTCATTTTTCACCATCTTATCATCTCAAAATAACTTCATCTATCAAATAATTGTTGCATTAGAATGTGCCAAAGTGAAGAACAAACGCAATGGGAGAGGGACAACTGTATTGGGATTTGATAATTTTAATTATTTTTTTACTTTTGATTGACATGTATGGAATGTGTAAACAATGAGTTATTTTGTGACGAGATAATAATTTTTAATGACACATATTCTTGAAGTTTACTCATTTAAATACATCTTACTAAACTGCAGGGTACACATGGAGGATCCTAAGTCCTCCTGGGAGGCCCTCAAGGAATTCTGGGTTCAAATATGCACAAAGAGATCAAAGTCTGAATATCAAGAAAATAGGAGAACAGAGGAGGAGGTAGCTACTTGCGTATATATGTGTATTGAAAATCTTTGTCTTTTTTTTTACAGGCGTATGAAAACCTTATCGAACTGACCACTAGTTAATATTAGGATTGAGATCATTCTTTTTAATGCAGATTGAGCAGATTGAGCATGAACAAGCCAATGGATACGTTAATCTTGTGTTGGTTAGCCTGGGTGGAGTGTTTTGGAGTGGCGCGAGAGCTGCTGTTGGCAAACTTAAGAATCCGTACGTCATGTCTGCGGCGAATGCATACATCAATTTCGCCCTGTTATCCATGCTCATCGGTGTGGCGGCTGGCTCCTTCCCTCGGCATTTTAAGTGTCCACTGGCCCTATCAGGCAATGGAGTACTCCAGGGGTTGCTGTTTAACGTGCTGGCCTTCAATATTGAGTCATTCACAAGCCTTCCTCCTGAGGTATTCAAATACACGCCTGCCATGGATGAACAGACCATCGCTATAGTCTGGAGTGTCACTGCAGGAATCAGTGCTTTGATCGTTATTCTTGTCTGGACATTGGCTACGGAAGATCCTGTGGTGAGTAATTGATTTTCAATACCAGATTTCTCCAAATGTTGTATAACTAATTGTCGTGTTCAATTCTAATTGTTTGTCGTGTTCAATTTCAGTGCGTTCTGGTTGCCCTGAGGCTCATGTGGTACCCTATTGCTCGGATGATTGATGCCACTAGGAGGTTTGAAAATTGAAACTTTCTCCCTAAATAGCACCGGCCGTATATCTATCACTTGTTGTGTGTGACATTAACTGTTGGTGCTTGTAGAAAAAAGGAAGAGGCAATAACATGGTGGAGACGTCCCAGAGAGAACAGATCAACTGGTCGTCGCAGTAGGATGCATCAGTAAGTATACAATACTGTCATCATGCTAACTGTTCGACATGCTAGCTTGTTTGGTGCATGGTCGCAGTGCAAAATTAATTAAAGTTAATTTTGTGTGCATATACGTGAGATGATCGACATGCATGGTGTCTAATTTAAAACTGTTTACACTAACTGCAGGCGTCTTCTGGGATGCACAAACTTCTGAGGGATTCAGGATTCAGGAACAACGACTAGTGCCTGATAGGAAGTGAAGACCGAAAAGGAAAAAGGTGATATAGCACACGCACACTGTGGTTTTGAGAGTGAGAGTAATTGTGGTACATTGATCTGTGCTCACCGGGAGACTTTACATGTAGTGATAGTTAGGTTCCTTACTTACCGTTCCTGATACCGCTGGTGTGATTTGCCATGACTGCAGCCGATCGACTGTATGCAATGAAGTTCCTGATACTGGCAGATCTGCAGTTTAACATCCTACATATATAGTGTATATATATATATATATATATATATATATATATATATATATATATATATATATATAACAAGCTTGTGCTGAATGTATAAAAGTAAATAAACAAAAATGGAGAAAAGAAATAGAATTAGAATCAGATGAAAAGACTTTATCTAGTAGAGTACGAGTGTTAGAAAATAGACTAAATAAACTAGAAGTAGAATTAGAGAACCTAAAAAATAATTGTGATATTAAGGCATTACTAAAGAATAAGAACATACAAAACACCGAATTTAAAGAGCAATTGATAACACTAAAAGACAGTAATACTGCTAAAATAATTCAACTAAGAGAGGCCATAACTAATTTTGGAAATAAATATATAGTAAGATTGCCTTTCAAAGAAATATTAGGTATAAGAATTCCTGTTAAAATAAAGTTGACACCCAAAGTATCTTATAAAGTATTAGCACTAGTAGACACCGGGTGTACAAAGAATATTATTCATGACAAATATTTCATAAGATGTCCTGAAATAGTTCACACAATTGACGACAATAAGGCAGAAGTTTCCACAGACATGTCCGGAATAAAGAAAATTCATAATCAGTTAGCTTATAATATTGAGGTTTACATTAATGCAACTAAATATATAATAGATGAGATTACAATAAGAGATTTGTCAATGATTAATGATGACATGATAATTGGCCTAAGGTTCCTTCAACAATCAGTACAAACCATAGTAATACATGAGCAAGGAATTACTTTTATCCCATATCAAAATAATGTTCCATATATCTCAGAGGTACGAAAGCGTGGTGGAACCTCCCCCAAACTCGACAACTTAGAAGTACCTAATCTTGAGTCTGAAGAAAGAATTAATGAATATGAGCTTAGTGAGAATATAGACAACTATTATATATCAAATTCCAATATAGAGTGCATAGGACTACAAACATTTGCACCAAATTGGTATAGAGATATTAAGTCTAAAAGGGATATAGAAAAAATTATTCAAAGATTAGAAGATATCCAAATTATAGGAGAAATTCCTATAAAATATTGGGGAAAAAATGCTATTGAGTGCAAAATTAATATAATAAACCCAGAGTATATTATTAAGACTAGCCCAATAGAAGCAACTCCGAAAGACATAGAAGAATTTAAGATGCATATAGAAGAGCTGTTGAAACTAGGAGCCATAAGAGAAAGCAGAAGTCCACATAGGTCTGCAGCGTTCATAGTAAGAAATCATGCAGAAGAAGTTAGAGGTAAATCTAGGATGGTCATAAATTATAAAAGACTAAACAATAATACTATAGAAGATGCCTATAATATCCCAAATAAACAAGAATGGATTAATAGAATACAAGGTAGTAAATATTTCTCAAAATTTGACTTGAAAGCTGGATTCTGGCAAGTAAAGATGGCAGAAGAATCTATAGAATGGACTGCATTTACATGTCCTCAAGGACATTATGAATGGCTTGTTATGCCATTAGGATTAAAAAATGCACCAGCAATTTTCCAAAGAAAAATGCAGAATATATTTAACGAAAACCAAGAATTCATATTAGTCTACATAGATGACCTGTTAGTCTTCTCAAGGACTTACAAAGAACATATTGCTCATCTTGAAATATTTATTAGAAAGGTGGAACAAAATGGGTTAATATTATCCAAAAAGAAAATGGAAATATGCAAAGAAAAAATTAACTTCCTTGGACATGAAATAGGAGAGGGCAAAATTCATTTGCAAGAACATATTGCTAAGAAAATTTTACAATTTCCTGATGCTATGAATGATAAAAAGAAATTACAGCAATTCTTAGGACTTGTAAATTATGCTAGAAATCACATCAATAATTTAGCAAAGTTAGCAGGACCGTTATATGCTAAATTAAGAAAAAATGGTCAGAGATATTTTAATTCTGAAGACATTAAATTAGTAAGATTAATAAAAGAGAGGGTAAAAGAATTAAAACCTCTAGAATTACCATTAGAAGAAAGTTACTTTATCATTGAAACTGATGCATCACAACACGGTTGGGGTGCTATATTAAAGCAAAGACCTACTAAATTTTCCGCTAAATCAGAAGAAAAAATATGTAGATATGCTTCTGGAAGTTATAAATTAAAAACTGTCAATAATACAGATAGAGAGATCATGGCAATAATCAATGCAATCAATGCCTTTAGGTTGTACTTAGGATTTAAAGAATTCACGGTTATAACCGATTGTGAAGCCATTTGTAGGTACTATAATCAGCTAAATAGCAAGAAAAGCTCAACTAGAAGATGGGTTTTATTTGAAGATATTATAACAGGAAACGGCTATAAAGTTATATTTGAACATATTAAGGGGAAAGATAATAATTTGCCTGACATGCTTTCTCGTTTACCTGAATTGCAGGTATGAAAAGATCAATGAATTACAGCGGAATTGAATGCTTCACATTTGGAGATGACAACAAGCTCAGAATATTCCCACCAAATTCATATAAATTTAAGGCAAAAGACCATATAATCTTAGATGAAGTGCAAGAATGCATCTTGGATAATTTTTGGTACCAATACAATAATAAAAGGGAAGAAAAAGGATATATGTTATCAATATTGAATAGCCTCTCTGAATATTTTCACTTAATAAATGGGTTATTAATGTCAGCTAATGAAGATCATGAAATAATCCAACAGAAGCCTATATATGTCGTATTTGATGGAAAGCTCCCAGGGGTCTATATATCTCTTGAAGAAATTGTGGCCCAAAAGATAGATGCTAAATTAATGGGAGGAATATCTTGGAAGAAAGATAAAGACATTGATGAAGCACTAAGCCAGGCTAGAAAAATACTAGGAATAAATTATTATCTAGAGCCTGCTGCAAATGAATATATTCAAAAATGCAAAAAAAGCTAAAGGAAAGAAGACTCCAGAAATACCCATTAAAACGACTATAAAAGAAGAAGGGTATTCTAAAAAACCCACATACAAGGAATGCCTAACAAAAGGAGTGGATCCATTAGATGGGGAATATATTGATTGGAAAATAATAGAAAAATTTGAAGAAGCCTCCCCACAATTAAAGAAGGAATTAAAGGAAGAAATACTTAAAGAATTAAAACAAGAAATGGATCAGAAATTTGAATAAATAAAAAAGGCAGTAGATGAGAAATTAGAAGTTTCTTTTTCTGATCTGGACACTATGGATCTTGGTGGTCATGGGCAACCAGATGAATAGAATTCTTTAAGCTAAATATGTTTTTCAATATATATTGATAATAGAATATCAACAATTTGGGCGTGGAAGAAGAATAAACGAAGATTTCAGAAGACTACTCAAGAAGGAATCCAGAAGAAGGAATCCAGAAGGACACCCTATAAAGCATAAAGGAACAATATAGGGTGCGGTGAATGACATATCCCTGTGAAGAATAAAACTTTCGGCAGGAAAGGCCTCAACTTTAGCCTGCTCTCGTGAATCCACAGTAGCGAAGAGATAAGCAGGAGGCACAGTCGACGCCACCCCTGACCTCTATAAAAGGAGGGGCCTGCCCAGCTGAGGGGAACACAACAACAAAGACACCATTCAGAGCAAAGCTTCCAAGCGCGCTCTCACCCTCCATTCCACCGTTCTTAGTAGTAGTGACTTTAGCCTACCTTGCATAGTATATTGAAGCAAGGAGTTGTGTTATAACGCTGTGTAAGGTAAGAACAGCTTGCTTGTACCTACCTTCGGGTTTCCCGAAAGGGAAAACCGTATGTAAGCTTATCTGTTTAATATGAAGTAATTTTCCTTAAGTATTCCTGCACGTTTGTTCTAGACAAGTGTTTATGCTAAGGACCCTATAGGAGAAACCTCTTCGGTTTGTTCTCGTTTTTAGCCTGCATCTTGCATAGGCGTCTGGAGAATCGGTATCCGTAGAGAAGTGTTTCCTTCGGGTGGAACTGCCTGGGGAGACGATAAACTCTTAGCTAGAACAAGTGTGACTTGGAATATCTTTTTAAATTGCTTCTAAAAAGACAGATAGGTGAGGCATACGGTGAGTACCGAGTAGGACTTTACATCATCTGAAATAAGCTTCCGAGGCTGTCTAAGTAGGATTCGCCACCCTGCAAAGATCCTAAAGTTAAAATATCTCTCGAAGTGAACAGTACTGAACAGTAATTTGAACAGTAAACTGAATAGTAATCAGCCGAATAAATAGTGTTTTTGAAATATTGTCCGAAGTATAATATATGTATATATATATATGTGTGTGTGTGTATATATATATGTATGTATGTATGTATATATATATATATGTATGTATGTATGTATATATATATATATATAGCTTGGTTTATACTTGTAATAGTACTGAGTTTACGCATAGGTGACCCGACTTCAATTTTTTCATGATCGATTGACTACAACTTTTTGCATGTGGAAAAGGTTTTTTTTCATAGGATTTTTCCAAGAGGTCATTCCTTAAGAATCCTATGGAATTAGTTAGTAAGACTACAATCCTTATAGGAATTTGGTAGGATACATTCCTATAAAACGAATGATGCATATAGGAAAAAAAATCCTAAGGATTCAATTCCTACAAACTCCCATCAATATCTGTAAAACCGAATGAGCCCTAAATCGATGTCGTTCTACAACTGTTGTCGATGCCACCCCATTACCTGTTCTTCCCAAATTAAATAAACACCGGTGCAAATACTGTTGCTTCACTTTCGCACAGCAAATTCCAATTTCAAGAATTTTAACCCAATTAACTGACCTTCAATTTTGCAAGATGAGCACCAAATATTTCACCTTTGCATGGTTAAATAAAACATCATGGTACGATTGATACCAAACAGTAGATCAGTGCATGTCAATTTGATTTTCCTGAGTTGACTAATCTTCCTTATAGCTTTACTCTAATTTTCTAGAAAGGTCCCTTTTTCTTTGTCTTTTTAAAATTTAGTTTCAGTACTTGTCATAGCATAAGCTTGAGTCTTCTACATATTCTCCTCTGTTTTATTTGAGTTTTTATACGATCATCAAATCTAGGTGTTGTTCCTTCCTTAGTCCTATAAATCTTATATTATTGTGTGGTATGTTTTTGATAATGTGTTGTATATGTGTCATACATCCAGATAGTATTGATAAGGAATTGGATTGTGATGATTAATACTATCTCCATTTTACGCTGTTAACTTTTTGAAAACGTTTGACCATTTGCCTTATTCATTTTTTTTACAAATATGAAATCATATTTTAAAATACAAAAACATTTAAGTCATGCTTAAATTTGATGATAAATCAATAAAATAAATGATAGTTATATAAATATTTTTGAATAATACAATGGTCAAACATATCTAAAAAGTCAACGACGTCGTATATTAAAAAGCGGAGGAAGTATGTAATTGGTGTTTCATGATGATTAAACTGTAATAAAAAGTTATTTTTACGCGCTCATTTAAATATAGGCGTTTGATTTTATCTAGGGATGAAAACGGAGCGGATACGGACGGATAATGCTCATACCATATTTGTTTTCATATTTTTTTGCCGGATACGGAAACGAATACGGATAGCTCGAATACGGAAACAAATACGGACTATCTCGAATACGAATAAGAATCGAATATGATCGGACACAAATACGGAAACAAATTTTTCTCGGAACACGAAAACCAATTCAACTTCTAATAGAAACAAATATCAACATATATAATTAGCTCATTTTATATAAAATGTAGTATAATTTATAAATATTTTTAAAATTTTAAATAATATTAATAATGTGGACTAGTGTTAAGAGATGAACTACTATTAAAATCTAAAAAGGTATATTGAAGGTCATAGAGTTAGAGTTATAAAGAAATAGTGTATGTCTTGTGGCTTCTGCGGATATCCGAATAGCACTGTTCACCGGATATCCGAATTATTATCCGTATCTGACGGAAACCCTGATACCATATTCGTTTTCGTTTCCGAGAGAAAAGTTTTCGTTTCCGAGAGAAAATATCCGTATTCGTATCCGTATCCGAACTATCCGAGAATTATCCGATCCGAGAGGTATCCGTATTCGTTTTTATCCGGAGCGGACGGAAACTATCCGCTCCGTTTTCATCCCTAATTTTATCTCGTCCTATGCCCCAAAAGTTTAGGACCACTTCCGTCAAGATGCGTACGTCAAGTCCGGAGTGGAAAAAAATTGTATGGCAACCGGTGCCACGTAGCATTTGTAGCACCCCTCCTGGATTAAAGACACGTGGCTACACACGAATCTCAAAGCAACTTCATCTTCTTTCTCAGCTTTTCCTGTTCGCCAGCAAGATGAATCAGGCCTCTATCTCTCTTATCCGAATTTCCAAGCATAGAATCAATACTCCTTCACATCTAATCCCCGATATAGAATCAAGCAGGATGTTGTTACTCTCCCCAATATAGAATCAAGCAGCCCGGCGACATGCCACTGTATCACCGGAGATTGAGATCGCCCGCCTTCTCTGTCTAACCGGCCATCTAGCTCGTTCATCAGGCGTGGAGCCATCTACTCATAACTTTCCTAAACCTTGTTAATTCATCAGCAATTTTTTCACTACGTGACTTCTCAAGAACGATGAAAATACATGGAGACAAGATTGTACTAGTTAATTGCTTTAGGGGGGAATTATGCGAGATAATTTTTTTAATTACCTCAGTTGATCTCTAGTCAACCTATATGCAAAAGAAAGTTACGAGGATTCACTTCTTGCATGTGTAGCATTGATATATAAGGTGATTTGGATTGTGGATGTAGGGACTCAATCTGTCTATCGCCGCCGTAATGTAGATTTATATATGGGATCAGGTCATCAGGAGAAGAGAGACGAAGGATCCTGATCTGATCCCGTTCCATGGGGATTAGGAGAGGAAGAAGAGAGGAGGTGACTTTGAGATTACGTAGCCACGTGTCTTCAATCTAGAAGAGGTGCTATAGATGCTATATGAGTTAATGAGTATGTGGCACCGGGTGCAATACAATATTACGTATATCCGATTGGATGTAGAGGTCGGATAAAAAAATACTAAAAAAATTTAAAATAAAATAAAATAATGAGACGCTATATCTACATTGCTTCCAATATTATACTCTATCTTTTTTTAATAAATAATGTTGTTGATTTTTTTTTCAGATGATGTTGGGTTACTCGTCTTATTATATATATATATATATATATATATATATATGCTATTTATTTTATTGTAAGTTATTTTATCATAAAAAATGTAGTCTTAACTTATATTTTTACATATTTACATTGGATTTTTAATAAGACGAATGGTATGGTTAAACACTATACGAAAAGTTAAGTGCGCCGTACATAAAGAAACGGAGGTGGTACATATATTAGCTGCATTTCAAAGAGATCTAGGAAAAGCAGTTATTTCTGAAAGATGACTCGATCATTTGCAGGGACTTTTGGTCTTGGTGTGGCTGATTGCGATCGATTTTGGGAGAAGAAGTTTGTTCACCAACGACTTTGGCGAAGTTGATATTCTGTTGGCAGTTCCTATCGTCATGTGGGTCATTCTAACGTCAACTATGTTCCTTGTCATGGCCGGCTTGTACATCGAGGGACTGCTGCCTACCTAGGCATATACTAGAAGTGCCCGCGCGGTGACACGCCACCCGTGCGTTTAGCAGATATTTAACTTTCGTTATCTGTATTTTTTTTTATGTTGGTGGTTTGCCTGAACTTTAGCGGATCTATTAAGAAATGTGTCATTATCCTCGATGGGGCACGTCCTCTGAAAGAAGCTTTTTTTTTTCTAGGCTGTAGTCACACCCACCCTCTGTATAGACAAATCAGTCGAGTAACTAAATCATTAAATCATTGTTAATTAAATTAGTTAAACATAGGTTGATAGTTTTTTTGTTGGATAAGAGTCAACTCTTCAGGATTGATCATCTCGAGTCCTCTGTTAAGGATGGAGATTTTATAATAAATAAGTCTTAACCAAACTTGTTTATTCCCTTTTTCGAATTCTATTTCGTTTGTATGATAGAATATGGGTTTAAATAAATTGGATCTTTGCGGAGTCTTTCTCAATAAATACTTAATTTCTTTTATTTATATTTCTTGGAAGTTGGAACAGATCCAGCAGTCAGGATCCTAGAACGGAGCATGGCAATAGGGAAATCCTGATTCATTAGGATGGCGTTGGTCATAAACAAAAATATTAATATCAACCAGACAAATAAGGAGGGAGGGTTAGGGAGGAAAAATAACATTAAACAAAGGGAAAACAAAATAAAGACCTCAATGTCCAAACAACAAAGCAATCAGCAAGAAACGTCCTACATGAACATAGCAGCAGACATATATTTAGAACAAGTATATATACTACTTCACTTGAGAGGGAAAAACGTATGTGTGCGGCAAGGACAGCCGATCACAGAGGAGCCGACCGATGAGGAGTAATATAGAGCTAGCATCTTATTTATAGGACCAAAGAATGAAAGAAAGGACTACGAAACAAGTGAGCCACAACAGTACACATAGAGGAAGCAACGTAATGGACACATAGCAGTCATCTCCGATTGTGTCCGATAATTGGTGTCCATGGTCGATAATTGGCACCGTCGAGGTGACCAATAATTAATATGCGTTATGGTCGGTTGAAAATAATTGGCGTTCATCTAGCACGATATTTTTTAGATATCGTAGTATGTAAATGTATTTGCAAGACTGGAGCCGGCCGGACTAACCAATCCACGCAAGAAGCAAACAGCCACTAAACCCGCACCAAGACAACAAGCGTGAAGTAATGAATGTTGTTGGCTACCATATGCTGCCAACGACTACATCAGCCCAAGAATGCATCCGCAAACAAGCATCAATTGGGCAACATCTTTGTGACACAAACATAAAATAAACAACCCTGTCCACTAGCAAATCGACACGGCATTAAATCAAGAGGAGAGAAGAAAATTCGGAAAAACAGGGAAAGAGGAACCCACCGATCTTAGGGAAATTTATGATTACTAAACTGCTAATGATGAAATGATGAACTGTTCAGAGCAAAAGACAAGCACAGTACATGAAGCTGTCATCCTATTGCATATTTCTTCCGCATTGCCAACCAGTTGTTGACCTGTTTCCACACAGAAAGTGGAATTATGTACAATTAACACAAGGCACCAGGAGCAAAGTGGCATTCATATATTACATAAACAAGTACTCAACTTCTAGTACTTGAAATTTGTCGCAAAAATATAACAACCTCTTCACCTACATTCCCTTGTTGACCAATCACAACATTCCACCATTAAAATCCCCTTCCTATCTCTTCTTTTCAATTAATCACAACATTCTTCCGTTTAATTCTACCAACTTTTTTAATACATGTGTTTAACCCTAAAACTTCTTATATTTTAGAATGGAGGCAGTAGTAGCAAAGCTCCACTAGACCTTGCCATTTGCTTGTTGATAGCTCCCTCATGGAATAAGTTTACAATCAGAAAGCAACACCCCAAAATTCTGGAAGTCAGCAGTAGGTAATTCTCGGCCACGAGAACACAAGAATTTTACCAAATCGTGTTCAAATTCAAGCACGGAGGGAGCTTGGGGTCTTCAACTCCTGATACCCCACAACGATTGTTTCAGCTTATCTAAGCAGAGTCCTGTCAACATGGACACTATCAGCTTAAAGGAAGCTGAAAAATTATTTTATGAGTTCATCCCATTGATTCAGCTTGTCCATTAGCACTTTGGCCCTCTCTTTGTCAATTTGACCGAAATCAGAGGGCCAGCTATAATTCTTACTACTAGTTTTAACCCTCCCAGCTCACTGACATTGACTCATCGCTGTCATCATCACAGTATTTGTAGTCTGGAGCAATCTCAAATCGAACTGGTGTCAGGGGATTGCTGTCATTGATGCACTGGGCAGCCCTCTCCCCTAACTTTCTGTTCCCGTATTCCCTGCAGCAGTCAAAGATCCTTAACCACATCGCAGTTGTTGGCTCGAATGGCATGTGACCTATAAAATCCTCAAGCTCAACCATGTAGCCATGCTTGCCCAACAGCTCAATCATGCATTCATAGTGCTCAATGCGAGGCACGATGTTATATTCATCAGTCATCTGGGTGAAATAACTCCGTCCCAACCCGACGTGCCCTTCGCTTATACATGAAACCAGTGCACCGAGGAAAGTGACAGAGTCTGGTGTAATCCCCTGCTTGCTCATTTCAAAGAACAATTCAAGCCCATACTCGCCTTTGCCATTATAAGCACATCCAAAGATCATCGAATTCCAGAGGATGACATCTTGAGATGGTCCTGCCTCAAAGATCCTCATGGAGTAATCAAACAATCTACACTTGGAGTACATGTCAATAAGTGCACTTTGCAGTATATCATCAATCACATAACCGTTCCTGATCATGTATGCATGAATCTGCTTCCCGTGATTAAGGAGAAATATGTTGGCACAGGCTGCCAGTGCTGAGCTGAACGTCGATTGGTTAGGTGTCGCCTCATAATGCATCTCACTGAGTGCAAGCAGAGCTGCTTCACTCATGGAGTGGCGTTCATAACCTGAGATAAGCGAGTTCCAGGAGTAACTGTCTCTTTCTGATCCCATCTCAAATAGAAGAAGCCGTTCGGCACTCCTTAAGCATCCACATTTGGAATACATCCTCAAGAGAGCATTCTTCAGGAAAGGATAACCAATAAAACCACTCTTGAAAGCGAAAGTGTGGACCTCCTCACCTTTCCCAAGATCAAGAAGCCCAGTACAAGCATTGAGCACACAGCCGAGAGTAACAGCATCAAGCTCCTTCGTCTCCTGCCTCATCTGCTGGAACAATTGCAAGGCACTAGTCAGATCCATGGATCTGACATAACCAGTTAACATAGCGTTCCAGGACACTAAATTGTGTTCTTCCATCCCTTCAAACACCCGCTTTGCATCAGTAATCCTCCCGCAGGAAGCCAATCCTGACACAATTGAAGTAGACATTACGATATCCTTCACTGGTGCCAAGTCGAAGAGCCTCTGGGCTAAATCAATGGCACCACACTTCGCATACATATCCACAACAGAGCTCCTCACATGCACGTGCTGCTCATACCCATGTCGGAGCACAAAAGTATGTATGCGCCTTCCCTCTTCAAGCGCACCATTATCTCGGCAAGCAAGAAGTGCTTGTGAGACAGTATAAACAAGTGGACTAACTCCTGCCCAGACCATCCGAAAGAACATGTCAATTGCCATATCCCCCATCCCAGCAAGAAGATAGCGCCGAATAATGACATTCCACGAGATGTCATTGGGTTTTGGGATGCCATCAAATGCCCTCCTTGCCTCTGAAAGGGCAAAGCACTTCCCATACACGTCAACCAGTGCCGTGCCAAGAATCACATTTGACTGAAAGTCCCTCTTGGCGATATGGCCATGGAGCTGCCGGGCACCATGGAGGTCCAGGCACTCGGCGCAACACCCGAGCACCGATGCCAGAGTGACGTCCTTGGGGCGAACGCCACAGGAGTTCATGGCAGAGAAAAGGGAAATCGCTTCAGTGGGTTCCTCCCCACGGGAGTAAGCCGAGATGATGGCGTTCCAAGAACCACCATCCCGGCGCGGCATTGCGTCGAACAGCTTCCGCGCGTCGGTGAGGCTGCCGCAAGCGGCGAGCGACTCGACGGCGCGGTTGAAGAGGAAGGTGGAGGTGGCGGTAAAGGAATGGGAGGTGGAGGGTGCAGTGGAGGATGCAAGGTGGGTGGCAATGCGGCGGGCGGCGGCGAGTGACCGGTGGGAGGTGGCTAGGCGGAGGAGGGAGGCGTAGACCGCGGAAGGGACCTGGGAGGAGGAGTATGACGGGGGGAGGGCGTCGAGGGCGGCGAAGAGACGGCCGGCGGCGACAAGAGCGGAGATGGAGGACGCGGTTGAGGCGGCGGCGGCGGCGGCGGCGGCGGCCGCCATGGTGGCGGGAAGGGAGGGTGGGGAGTGTCCCTTCAGGCGGGGTGGGTATTGCAGAGCTGGATATTTTTACATGGGCCTATTTTGGGCCTTGATTCTTGAACCAAAATAAAGTTCAGGCCCACGTTTTATTTTTGTTCTTCCATTTTAGTTTTTGAGGTTTGTGTAGTTTCTTTAGAGAACAGGCAAATGTCCATGCGTTGCAACAAATTATTGAAAATAGAAAAAATAAGTTTTTTTTAAAAAAAATATTTTCAGTTGGTTGAAACAATATCTTTCACGGTAAAAATAAAAAAGAAAAGAAAAGTGACGTGCTTAGAAAATTAAAGAACATACATATTCACCAAAATCCAAATGTCCTCTTCTCAGCCTATGCAAGTATACAAAGAGCAGAACATTCACATTTGTTATGCTGTATCATGGCCCACATGTCAGTGATATTTGTTATGCTATATCATGGCCCACATGTCAGTGATAGTGGTGGTGGTGGCAGATACCATCGCTACCTCTCTAATGACATAGCGTTGCAAGGAGTCGTGCTGAAAAGATTCCATATGGTCCCTCCAGTGTTCTCCAGGATTTTACACCATCATTTACCAAACTCGTCCAACGTTTTAGAGCTTACCTGATCAAAGGTATTTTTGGATGCTATGAATAACAAAACAGACCAAAAGAAAATACACGATTAAGTTCTAAAATTCAAACTCAAACAAGCCGTAACAACGCCGATAACATGTTTAGGCTCATCCAAACACCCCACGTTCAACTAACATCTCCGGCCGTCTTTTCCACAGGGAAGCAGAGATTTTGACAGTTAGAAAATAATGGACATTAGACAATGGACAGGGCGAAGAAAAACCAACACCGCGACCTCTAAAGCTAGTAATAGCCTACATACTCAAGGAAATGGATGTCGACATATCTTTTCGGTATAGTATTACTGTGCTAGCGATCTTCCAGAGTTCTTGTCGACACCGTCATAGGTTTGAAGAAAACGATACCTCAGCCTCAGATCTATAGGACACAAGTAGACTCAGCAGAGAAAAAGATAGGCTTAGCCCGAGGACCTTGACGCAGTGACGCCGTTGCAGTTAGCAGCATCCTCATCGTTTTGTCTATAGCTGACTGTAAGCCTAAAATTTTTTTACTCCCTATGTCCCATTTTAAGTGCAGCCATGGTTTTTCGCTTCCAACTTTGAACGTCCGTCTTATTTGAACGCTCCCAACATAAGTCACAAGTAAAGTGTTATTCATGTTTTATCATCTCATAACAGCAAAAATACTAATTATAAAAAAATTTCAAATAAGACGGATGATCAAAGTTAGTTGAGTGCGGAAACTTATGGTTGCACTTAAAATGGGCGGATGGAGTAGTATATTTCTAGTGAATTAAAAGTCAATGGTGAAAAATAAATTACGATAAAAGAATACATCAAAATCCACTTTTCATTTAAAATCTAAAATTCAAATTTTGCTACTCACGCCAGTTTGGCTCCGACGTCGGTCGGTCGTTGATGTGTGCGTCGATTAGGCGCATCTTTTGCCCTGCTGACACGGGAGCAAAGATATCAGAGACAGCAACACTTGTGATAGGCTAGCTAGCAGCTACTAGTAATAAGCAGTTCAACGGTGACAACATCATATGCACAAACATCAACTGATCAAGCCATCGTCGATCAGAAGACCAGCGACCAGTGGAGTGTCCATTTCGCCAACGGGGAGATCTGCGAACGAAGCAAATTGTAATTGGTAAACAGAACTCAGACTAATCGGTATGCGGCGATGGTAATGCTGCTGTCAATTGCGTCACACAAGGACAGGACAGGACAGGACAGGAAAGATCAGAAGAGCAATAATTGGAGGGTAAACCAGAAAAAGGCGTAGTAAGGTATCCATTTTGATCAGCCGCAGTTACGAGAGCTTGAGGCGAAAAGGAAAGAGGCAGATGGAGTGAGCAATCGAAACGAAGCCAATCTGATTGAAAGAAGCCAACCTTGGCTTTGCTCTTGCTCCACCACCAAACCATGATGGAATGGCAGTGCCACCAAGGTGCCTGCCTGCACTGCCATGGAAGGGATAACCCAAAGCACATATGAGCTCCCAAAACCTGAACCCAGAAGTGGGCGACCCACCCATGGCACATGTGATGACATGCCAATGCACGCGCTGAAATGGACAGCTAGATATATGGCAAATGTGAATGAATCTTAAGAATTAGTAGCAAACTGTGAAGTTTTCAGGTTGTCACGATCATGTAATCTGTTCATGTACAAGGATGAAATTTCTTTCTTCGCAAAAATAGAAGGATGAAATTTTGTTCTAAGCAGTTTTAAATCCAGAAGTCCTCAAGCATGGAAGGCTACGAAGATGGATTCTAATCACCTGGGTGAATATCCACTCGTTTATTGCATGCCAAATAAATTGTTATGATTTTTTTTAAAAAAAATTGACAAGATAGATTAATATGTTTTTTTTAAAAAAATTGACAAGATAGATTAATATGTAATATATCACTATACAGGCATACACGTTTAAATTTGACTTCTATAAGTTATCAAAAAATAACAAATTAAACTCTAATTAGTATATTCTTATTACAACTTATAGAATTAAGATTCGAACTTGCATGTATATGAAGTAATATATTAAATGTTTATCTTGTCAAAAAATTTAAACTTTTTTATAACTATTTAGTTGATATGCAATAAACAAATAATGTCTACCAGAATATTAAAATAGTTCCCCGGCCAGCTATATGTGGATATTTTCAAGTTAGTGCAACCGGTGAGCCTTACAACCTACTGTGATCCAGTAGAACGAAGACGTGTGAAGTAAAAAAAAAGAACTTATACGTACCGCCATTGATTTGAAGAGCATGTCGAGCTGTTCCCTCTCAATGTTCCTGTGACACAAGGATGCAGAACCGCGTCATCACGACGTCACCCCGGGCAGGCGGACACCACATAAGCCACCTGTGTATGAACCGCGGGTCCCAGGGATTAGGTAGATGCCCACGTGGATCGCTGCTCTGCTGCCGCCACCAGCAACGCCACTGCACCAGCCACCGCCTCAACACTCGTCTGGAGTGGTGGACTTAGCCTAATCTTTGCATGGCCTGCCATAAAGAGACAAAGCATATGCATAAAAACTCTTCTTAAAGAAGAGAAGAGAATAGAAAAAAGGAAAAAGATAGGCAGAAAGGTAGGGAAAAAGTGCAGTGTATATGAGTTTCAGCACCATGGAATGATTGATTATTATTTTTCTTCGTTATTTTTTTTGTTTTACAAAAGATTGAGCTGTTAGAATACTTACTGGAAGATACTGGTGATCAGAGGATTATACTTGTATAACTGCAATAAGATAAGCATCTTACCAACTTCTTTGGACTGGGGGAGTACAGTGGTTAGCATATCATTGAATGGCTCAACAACTCAAAAAACTATATTAATATAAACCTCACTCTCGAATGACACGCTTTTATGCATAGCAAAGATAGCCTTCTTATCAATTGGCCAACATCTTACTTAACGGTGTGGTATCTACCAAATTATTCAGCAGCTTAGTATCACTATCATAAATCATTGTCATAATAGTAATACCTCCAAATTGAGCTCTGAAAATAATTTGAAATGATTGATGAATATCTATTTTGACGCGGCAGTTTGCAAACATGTGCATAGAATAGATGCAGCAGCAAGGAACTCGAGTGGCTTCATCTCCAAGTGACGCTCTTTGTACTTTACCACAACTTCACTGAACTCTCTGAAACTTGTTGGGGCCGGTATATGCGACAATAATTGATAATAACTATGGTCAAGAGGGATAAAGGAGCATGTTGGAGAAGGATGACGCTGGCATGACATCAGGAGGAAGACAGACATCATAGAAGAAATTTGTGCAGTAATGGCACTCGTAAAGCTCATTATTGGGCTGCAGGACACTTACCAGTAACATTTTTGTTGGAGATTTCAGAAAACAGTAGACGGTACTTCCATTGCTGTTCGACATACTTTATTTTCTTGCCTTTTTTTTTCCTTCGCAACTTCTTTAGATAATGGAAGCATTTAAATCTCCAGCCTCTATATCACTCGGCCAGAAGATTTTCATGGTAGTGTCCTAGCTTGCCAAATATCTGGTGAAAGATATAGAAGTAAGTTCATCAGTGGAGGAAGTAACAAAAGGATGATTGTAGACTCTACAGAAATCACTAAAGGATCAAAAAGAAATTATCCAAGCAATTAAAGTGAAAAAAACTTGGAGTAACGCAAACAAATTGAGATTACTGGTTCACTTCAGAATCAGATAAACATTTTTACTCTACAGAAATCACTAAAGGATCAATATAAGACTATTCTAAAATATGGTAACATCTGGTTAACATCCTTAATGAAAATGGAACATGATGCACTGAAGACTACCTTAATGCTGAAAAAGAAAAAAAAATTCGCTGATGCATTGAGCTGGGAGCATATTATGCCTTGAGCAAGCATGTCGGTAACATATCCATTGAATTTCAGTAGTACGCAGCTATGCGTAGCAGCGTCCAAACAAATCTCAAGAGACAGTTTGCTGCATGATTGATTGATATTAACATGGTATCCAACACACATCAAATAAGAGAAAGAAAGTCAAAACTCCAGTCTAATCTCCACCATAGTTTAATGACAGGATGAGGTTTCACATAACTTGGGCGTGCAACCTAAACAAGCTGGATGTGTGACTATGTCATCTCACCAATTACATCTCCTGACTTCAGATAAGAAACTCTAATGACTCGATTATACGTTTCATTGACAGTTCTCATGAGCAAAGAGATGGCACTTTATAAATTAATGTACCTAATGTAGCACAAAAGCAATATGTTATATTATGATCCATGCAAGAGCTAGTCTGCTATATATTAAAAACTTTGGATGATCGATGTCTATGTAACCTGATATATCCAAGCTGAGTCAATGACCAAATGCATTCTCAAAAGGTTAACCTAATCAAGGACACCGAAATGAACATCATTGCTACAAAGGAACTGTCTTTCTTGTTTCTTCAACTTTGTCGATAAAATATACCAAACATGATGAGGTGCCATGCATGCATGCCTTGATGAGCTTAATTTGTTAGTTCCCATCAATCCTTCTCAATAGTTAGTACAGCTGCATGCAATATATTCCCTGAACATCGAGGCGCAGATACTACTGTCTAAATCCAACACCAGCCTTTAATTGCATAGCATCATCAGCTCCCTCAATAGAAAATGCAGCATGGGGGAGGAAAAGAAGAAAGCATGGCACTTAAGCTGCCAGGCTTCTGAAGGCACCATGCATGCCTCAGCCGCCTCAAAAACCTTTCAACGCTCCTTGAATTGCACGTCTCTCTTTCTCCACACATTGCATACACGCATGCGGCCACTATAAGTAGCACCAAAGTCACCACATTAAGCAAGCACCTGCTCTCATCTTCTCCCCGTAGCCTTAGCTTCCACCCGCCTGCCTAGTCTATCTACTTCTTCTGCCTTACACTTCACCTCAGCCATGGCTGGAGCTTCCAACCTTCCTCCCGGTTTCCACTTCTTCCCGTCAGATGAAGAGCTCATCATTCATTTCCTCCGCCGCAAGGCCTCCCTCCTCCCTTGCCAACCTGACATCGTCCCTACTCTGATCTTGAATCTCTATGATCCATGGGAATTGAATGGTATGGGTCTAATATTTACCTCTATATGTTGTTGTTTTTGTCTTAGTCATAGCTGAGTGTTGATGTCAAACATTTTTACAGGTAAAGCACTCCAATCCGGTAACCAATGGTACTTCTTCAGTCATGCGACGCAGACTAGGACCTCGCCAAATGGGCACTGGAAACCCATTGCTGATGAGACAGTTATTAGTGGTGGTTGTAATGTTGGCCTGAAGAAGACCCTCATTTTCTTCATTGGGGAGCCCTTTGAGGCGATCAAAACTAACTGGGTCATGCATGAGTACCACCTAATGGATGGGAGTACCAATTGCAGCAGTAGCAGTACTTCAAGCAGTTCAAGCAAGCGGTCCCACAAGAAAAAAGGTCACTCAGACACAGTGAGTGCTGTACTGCTATATGCGTGTTTATTTATCGTGTTTAGTACTATATATCAATTGCATGACTATTTAACGTGGCTAACATATATGCATGCATGATCATTGCAGGAATCCAAGAACTGGGTGATATGCCGAGTGTTCGAATCGAGTTATGATTCACAAGTGAGCTTCCATGAGGAGGGCACGGAACTGTCATGCTTAGATGAGGTGTTTCTATCCCTAGACGACTATGATGAAGTCAGTTTTGCCAAATAATTAGAACCTTTATAGGAGCTGTTAGTAGGTTAGGTCCTTCACCTATCAAAACATTTGATCACAGTGATTCTCGCAAGAAAACTTAGTTTTATAAGATCAAATGGTTTGATAGCTGTTGAACCTAATGATCTAATAGACCAGATATGTAATTACTCATCTCCTCCCAGGAGTTGCATGCAACAAATTTGAGCTAGTTTTTAAGAACTATGATATTGCGAATATAGATTAATTGAGCATTTGTTGGTTTCTTTTGAAAAAGAAAACACATTTCGGATAATCACTTACTCAACAGTGAGCAATAATTAAGCACTTTTTTGGTGAATATGCAGAAGGCACATTTTTTTCGTTAAGGAAAAGACAAAGTTTTTTACACAGCAACTAAGCGATGCATGCATTGATTTTGGCCTACATCCTCTCCCACTCATTTTCTTTTTATGTATTGCAAATAATGGTAGTTTGCCCACAAAGCAAAGGGGATCAGTTAGACGCTATTGAAGGCATGCATGCTTGGTGAAGTGCTGTCACCATGCTGTCCATGCACTGTTGAGTTGCAAAATCAGTTAACTGATACCCAGGTAGCCAGTAGCCACTGAAGTTTCTACTCTAAACTTTAATTTGTCTTTTGCAGTGTAATAATTCTAGAAGAAGTTAGTAATAGCTTTGGATTATAACTAGATAACTATGGATACTAAGTATAACTTTGCTTTTTTTCTTCTACTACTAGTCTACTACAAAGATTATTGACTTCTCAATCCAATCATGAAAACACAACAACATAATGAATATACTAACTACTGGAGAAGTTGTCAATGCCACCTCCTATAATGCGTTGCTGTTGACATGAAAATGGCCCAGCATATATAAGTGAACAAGAAAAATACGGATAAAAGAAATAAAGGATTAATTATAACTACGATAGTGGTTTACATGTGTTACCTTTGAGTAGTCCTAATATTTTTTCTACCAATGAAGTACAAGTAGAGATGGGAAGAGAAAAACGAAACAAGGAAAGATGTATGCCTTATCTTCAAACGCTATATCTGCTATGCGCAGTGTGCTCACAATGTTGACTTGCTTATTTGCCATATTTCTAAATCAGTTATGCGATCAACTCTGAATGCAGTTATTGCTTCAAACTAGAAATGTTCTAATTGGTTAGTTGTTCCGAACAGTAACAGGAACATATGATAAAAATCAATGTACAGTAAGATACTAATTGGAATAAGTGGAAGTTGAGGAACTAACCATAGTGAAGCAACTGTCACTTGAATAAGAAGCCGGGATCAATTGGATTACAGCAGGAATTGACTCTCTTTTGTAAACTTTTTACATGCTCTACGTAATGGTGATTGGAGGAGCTTCTGGATTTTGAACCAAAAAAACAGAGAACCCTGAAAGGAGAAATAATGTGTAAGATCAGCTTTCCAATGTGAGGTCTTTAAAGCGATAAATATTTGAGAACTTAAACTTTAGGGCAGGAATGTCAATGGAGGGTAAAACCTAACAAATAAAATCTGAAGTTCTCTTCCTGAATAAAATCTGCAGTGCAAAGAGCAGCACTAAAAATCCAGTTTAATTTTCAAAGAAGTAAATTAATTAAATCCAGTTTTTGACCATGTAAAATTTTATAGTGGAAGTGTATTTAAGCTAAAAAAATCTCCAACATAACTTCTTCTGTAGAAATGGCATTACATATTTCAAGGTACTTAAATCAGCGGTGCCAAGCTGAGGTAACAATTTCCATTTGTGCCTCCTTTTGCGTTGCCTAAATATTTGGATGTAAAATGGTTTGCATATATGAATCCTCTATCTTAGTTTCCATAGTATATATGCTTTGTAAGTTTGTAATCCCCTTGATCACTACACATATCCATCACCTTTTGTAGAAAGGCTGCTGAATGAAGAGCACATGGTTTATCACAATAAGTACACATACCTTATCATGAAACCGATCACTTAAATTAGCCAAACAATCGAGAAAAAGATAGCTATACAAAGCCGTTTTTGGTGGTATTGGAGAGAACAGAAAACAAAAGTCTAATATAGTTTTCCAGGCAGTTCCTTAAAGGTATCTATCTGGTTTGCTTACCTACTACAAGAAATTAGAAATAGTAGATACTTGAGAACTTTACAGATCAGTCAGATTTCTGTTATTTCCGACATGGACAGGTTATGTCCTGAAGATGGTGTTCAAAAGGCAAATGAAGCTGCCAATAGGTACAAAGCCACGCATGTGCTACTTTTCTGCTACACACCAACTACATGCATGATAGAGATGAACTCATGGATAAGAACTGTTAGTGCCTAGGTCTGTTTCAATCCTGCCATACTAATTGTGTTAAACAAATAGAATCAAAGCAATATAGGACCACACGAAAGGATATTCCTAGAAGATCGGGGACACTGATTCTGTATGGACCATCTCAGATCGTTTATTAGTTAACAGTATTCCGAACAATAAGCATTTTATACCCAGTGTGAACATCTTTTTTTCGGGAATACGCAAGGAGCGCATTTTTTCCATTAAGAGAAATAAAAGTTATTTACATTTGAAAGAGAAAAACAGCACGGGACTGATACAGGACAAAAACAGACAATCCTAGGTCTATCTCTCGCGCTGATTTTGGCGACCAAACTCCCTCCTGAATTGCAGCGCAGGGATCGTTGGGTTTGCTTTACGCCAAAGAGAGGCTTCGTCCACCATCCCTCTAGCCACATCCACCCAAGATCTACACTGCTGATTGAAGATCCGACCGTTCCGTTCCTTCCATATTGTCCATGCTACCAATGTCACCACCGTGTCGAAGCCTCGACGATGTGACTCACTTAGCACTATTCTGCTATCGCACATCCATTGGTGAAAAGAAGCTTCATTCACCGGTAGGCAGTTGGGGTGGCCGATTGCTCTCAAAGTCCACCACCAAAGCTGCCTTGATTCTGGGCACCCAGTGTGAACATCTCAATCTCCGCCCCTTCTCCACAGTCCACAAATGGCACCAAGTACTTCATAGTTTATATACCGCATTGCCATCGTTTGGCAAGAGGAAAATCTCCAACACAGCATCTCAGATGCCACATTTCTAAGATCAGCAGCGTGAGTTGATTGGCCCGAAAAGCCCAAAACAGCTTAGTATCAATATCATGATTCGGCAAGAGAAGACATCTCCAGTACAGTTCTCAGATGCCACGTTTCTAAGATCAGCAGCATGAGTTGGTGAGCAAGAACAACTTAAATTTCACGAACTTTTTTTTAAACATCTGGGTGTTAACAGAATTTAACTCCACCAACACAAACATCAGAGAAACGACTAATATGCATAGGGCTGCAGAATTTCAAAATTTTTCGATAAGACGCAGAATCTCAAAATGAACCCTAAACCTCCCAACCCCCACGCCCAATCCCAGCCAAAATCCCTCGAAATCCTCCCCCTTCGAGGCTCCGATTCGCCCAATTCACCATCTGCTTCGAGAACCCCCTACCCTCCCCTCCCCGCGACGCTAGACGGAAACCAAATCGCATCTTCCGCCCTCACCACCCGCGGTTTAAACCGTGGAACCCATCACTCCATCAGCACAGCAATCACGGGACGGGAGGGAGAGAAGAACAACCTGGTGGTTCGTCGGAGGCATGCCCCGACGGCAGATACACGCCGCCGCGACTGCCGCCGCCGCCGGTGGCCACATAGCCTCGCCGCGCCGCGTCTTCCCGCGGAAGCCACAGGGAGAGAGACGGAGGGGTTCGTGTTGGGCTTCCCAAAACGCGAGGCCTTAGCGGGCCGGGCCCATCAGGCCCATGTGACACCAAACCCGGGAGGAGTTCCCGCCACGGAGTAAGTCCACTTTGGCTCCCTTAAAAAGTGACACGCTGTGGAGTTGACGTGGCGCTTAGGTGGCATTTGAATTAAAAACATATATATGGGACCCGTTTGTCATTCATACACATAATAAATTGTGGAGCCCACTGACATGTGAGCTCCACAAGTCATCTCTCTCTTTCTTCTTCCCGCCACCGCAGTCCGAATCGGACCCCGACTCCGAATCGAATTCGAATTCCCCGCGATTTTTTTTTTGTTTTTGTGCCTCCGCTACGCCGCGCCGACGGCCTCCTCTGCTTCCGATCATCTCTCTGGCCTTCCACCTTCGTCTTCCAACTCTCCGGCGATCCATCCATCCTTTGGGCCTTTTCGCTGTGATGGCGGCGGTGTCCTCCTGCGCCTCCTGCTCCGGCGCCGCCGGTTCTTTCTCCTCGACGGCGTCGTCCTTCTACGGGGGCGGCAGCAGCCGGATGATGATGATGAAGGCGGCGCGTTTCCCCTTCTTCGTGGAGATGGACGTCGGCGACGAGGTCAGCTCCTGCTGCCCACCTCCGTCCCCTGATTACACCCCGGCGAGCCCTCCCCACCGCCGGGCGGCCTCCCCGGATTACACCCCGGAGAGCCCTCCGCGACGCGCGGCGTCGCCGGATTACTCCCCGGCGAGCCCTCCCCGCCGCGCTGCGTCCCCGGATTACACCCCGGAGAGCCCTCCGCGACGCGCGGCGTCGCCGGACTACTCTCCGGAGAGCCCGCCTCGACGCGCCGCGTCGCCGGATTACACCCCGGCGAGCCCTTCCCGCCGCGCGGCGTCACCAGACTACACTCCGGAGAGCCCGCCTCGCCGCGCCGCGTCTCCCGATTACACCCCGGCGAGCCCTTCCCGCCGCGCGGCGGCGTCGTCACCAGACTACACTCCGGAGAGCCCTCCCCGCCGCCGCGCGGCCTCGCCCGACTACAGCCCGTCGACGCCTCCGAGGCGCGCTGCTTCGCCGGACTACAGCCCATCGACTCCTCCGCGCCGCGCTGCCTCGCCGGACTACAGCCCATCGACCCCTCCGCGACGGGCTGCTTCGCCGGATTACACCCCGATGTCTCCTCCGCGCCGCGCTGCCTCGCCGGACTACACCCAGATGACGCCTCCGCGCCGCGCTGCCTCGCCGGATTACACACCGTCGACGCCTCCTCCGCCTCGTGCTGCTTCGCCGGACTACACCCCCAGCACGCCACCCTCGTCTCCTCTGCCGTCCGCGGCAGAGTCCTTCACGGTTCCGCCGCCACGCCGCTACCATCCCTACCAGAGGAGCCGCTCCGGCGGTGCCTGCTCGTCGCGCGCGATCCGGGTCATCGGCGACCAGCAGCATCGCCGCCGTGTCTTGCTGCTCTGAGTACTAGACAAGTAGTGAAGTTAAGACATCCTGTGATAGGAAATCTTGGGAGTTCTTGATGTAAATTTCTGCTCTATCTATCAATGTAATCTATGGCAGAATCAGCTGTATGCCATAATCTATTCTTTGGTGAATACTGTAGTAATATGATGTTTATGAATCAATGAGTAAAAGCATTCAGATTATGAAGTTCTTGTTCTTCTGTCCATGGCTTCTGCATCAGCGTTCAGTGACTGTAAAGTCTGGGTTTCTGCTTTGTTCAAAAAAAAAAGTCTGGGATTCTGATATTCTATCACTGCTGTTGATCAGTAACATGAAGGCTGTGTTTAGTTCACGCCAAAATTGAAAGTTTGGTTGAAATTGGAACGATGTGATGGAAAAGTTGGAAGTTTATGTGTGTAGGAAAGTTTTGATGTGATGGAAAAGTTGGAAGTTTGATCAGTCAATAGTAAGGATAAGGGAACAAACTGATCAGTCAATAGTAAGGATTATCCCTGAATCACTGATGAGATTCTCTAAACCTGTCAATCTGATGAATGTTAAATGAAGTTCAGTGGTAAACTTTCTGTTTCTGAAGAAACTTTTTCTCCCACTGCCTCTGCTAGTTTGTTCAATATACTAAAATTCTGAGTTCTTGCTTTGAAAACTTCTTCTCCGATTGGTTGCTCATGATCGTTCGAGTTCATAAACAGCACACGCTCTTCCTTGAACTTTCAGAACCACTCGATGACATTGCACTGTTTGTTCGAAATACTAAAATTCAGATCCTTTGTGTTGACAACCTGTGCTTAGCAACTTCTCTCGATGAAGCAGCTGTGTTTTTCTTTATGATCATCTCGCTGCTTTTGGCTGCTCATAATTCTTCGAGTTCATAAACTGTTCTTTGCACTTTACACAACCACTCGATGGCATTGCAAGACTCGATCAAAATTTGCAGGCTGCATGCACAGTGTAAGGAACAAGAGTCTGAAGTCTGAACTGACGGCTCAATCACTGAAGGCCCAATCTGTATACTGCAGAAGTGCAGATATCTCTCTGTCAGATTTTTCAGATCCAAACGAACACTCCAGTGAACAAACACCGGCAGCATCGCCAAAAGAATCAGGAATGTCATTTCCAAGTGACTCTCACTCTGCATGCCATTGGCGACATGGCATTGGTGAAAGAAACCGGTCAAAAAACCTCAGCAGCCGAAAGGGATGTTTCTTCAGAAAAAGCAAGAAGGAAAAAAAATGCACGCTCGATTGATCTAGAAGATCGGTGGATTTGAATAAATTTGATCGACCAGAACAACCGTGAATTGGCATCAAATAAAGAATATGCAACGCTAGTACACGTGCACCTCTGATCCTCTCCTCTCTTGCTCCATTTGCTCCATGACCTAACCTTATCTGAAAAGAAATATACTCGATGGCTCAATAGACGTTACGGCTAAGATTCTCCAAAGACCAACACGCGCGGGAAGAATTTTTCAGACAGGATTTCCTCCCAAGAATTGTTCTGCTGATGATGCATGCACAATGTGATTCAGATTCAGAAGCATCATCTTGTCTTTCAAGTTGAGAGCTGAAATCGTCTACTATTTGATAGTAGTGGCTGGTAGTGGTACTAGTAGTATTCTGAAATGAACATGCGTTCCACAAAAGAGGTTCAGAGGAGTTTTCTCTCAAGAATGTTCTACGGATGATGCATGTGCAATGTGATTTAAATTTAGAAGTATCATCTTCTCTTTCAAATTGAGCCAAAATCCTCTCTTTCATACTACTACTAGTATTCTGATTTCTGAAACGAGCATGTGTTACACATGGTTCAGAGAAATTCTCTCTCAAGAATGTTCTACCGATGAGGCGATGATCGATGCATGCACAATGTGATTCAAATTCAGGAGCACCGCCTTGTCGTTCAAATTGAGCCAAAATCCTCTTTTTGAAGAGAAGCTTAATACTAGTATTCTGAACGTCCACGACTTTGCTAGGGTTATATATCTTGCCGATTTGTGTTTTCTGTTATCTGGTCCAAAGTTACAGCTCACAACTAGCAACACACTTTGAACAGTACATCCTTCCTATCCATGGAATCTGACTTGGAATTCCAGAACTTCACCTGCTGCTGCTTTGAACTGACAGTTTGCTGGCATTTCAGTTAACCATCACTTTGGCACTTAGCTGTTCTTTTTACTTTTTTTTTAAAAAAAAAGTTCATTTATTTTTGGTGTGATGAGGAAGATGCCTAACTCGCTAGGCTCCAAAACACCAGCTTCTGAAATTTGGGTTTATACCTCACTAAGGTCACTATCTCCATAAACTTTCTGTTTTCTTCAGTCCTCACTCTGTTTCTGAATATCAGCAAATATGTTTCACGCGGTCAGAGGTGAAAAATATTGTTTCGTGGATTGGACAAAAGTTTTTTCTTATTGGAGAGGTCAACCGCGTAAATCAACTGTCGACGGTGAGTCGCGGTTTACATATGTCACACTCTCGTGGTAGATAAATAAATACACAATTTCAATTTTATTTTGTAAAACCAGGCACCAAAACAAAATTAATAGAAATTTGTTTTTTAAAAAATATGAATTTTCTTTTAAAGAAAGGCCGTACTCACTTGAGTCTAGAGACAGTGCGACAACATCTGAAGCCCACAGGAAGTTGTAAACTCCATATGTAGCCCAAAAAGACTGCAAATTCAGGCCGGCGCAGCAATTTATTAATGGTTTTCGGACCAATATGTTTGAACCGAAAAATACTGTATTTCAACTTTGAAGTCAAATTGTTAGGCCGGTTTTCTACGGTCTGAGCAGTGCAGTGCGCAGTTGCGTGTGTTGGCGGTCTAATCTTTGAAAAAGCCGGCGTTGGCTTCGTGCGATTAAAAAACTCGTGGTAAAACATTGCGGAGGAGAGACCAGTCATTAATGCACCAAATTGACAGCAATCGCCATTTACCGTCTTGAATTTGTTAATTGAACATAAGTCAACTTTGTTCAAACTTCAAAGGCCCCTTTTTAGGAATGATTAAATTGGCAATACATATGATCGTGCTAGCAAGCCAGCTAGCACTGGACTGAAGACTTCATAGTTCATAATTCAGACCCCAATTGTTCCTGTCCACAAAACAGTATTCCATATGAATTATGGGCTCATGGCATCAATATCGGTAGTTGATAGAGTAATCAATAATCATCAATTCCGTCTTTATCTCTCGTTAGAGCCATGTCTCTGACATCATTTCATTAACTCATTTAGGTCACAAATATCCGTCTAAACATATGAGCTACAAACAAAATTCACTTGTTATATTCCATCTAACAGTGAGCCTTTTTATGATATTTGGACTTTGGAATGTATTAGAGGTCTACCACCGTATCTCCTAAAATAAATCTGAGATCATGGACTTCGTTTTTCTAAATGATGGAAGTATAACTTCTGGTTTCTGCAATTTACATTTTTCTTGGTCAAAAGGATATATAGGAGATATAAAAGAAAAACTTGATCAGCAAGGAAAAACCCCTCCACGGCTTTTCACTAAGAAGAAACATTGCCAAAACTAGCCGAGAAAGGCCGTGAACCCTAGCCCATTGACACACGGATCCACTCCCCATGGTTCGTGCTTTTAGCCCCCTGCCCTCTACACAAGGGTCTGCTCACCATAGGTCATTTCTTAACACGTCTTCTAACCAAGGGGCATGTTAGAATATGTGTCGAATATATAGTCCTATTTGGTTACAGTTGGACTTGGAGTTGTAGAGTTGTAATAGGTGTTAGAGGTGGAGTTAGAGTCGGGCTCTGTAACCCGGTATCTCTCTTAAATAGAGAGGAGGTACCACAATGTAACCATGGCGACTACAATGTAGCATAGACACGCAGGGAGATAATGGCGACGAGGCTATGGACTCATAGCGGCTAGTAGCTATATTGGTTGAGGAGGAGCGCTCATAATCAGAGCCCCGGGGATGTAGGCTTTTGCTGAACCTCGTTAACAAATATCGTGTGTTCCTGTGTCGTCATCTGGTATGTCTTGGGTGATCAATGACTGAAGCGATCGGGAAGGTTAGTCGTCGTTCCGCTTTATCGACTAATTTTTGTAACAGGGCCAACGAGTGACCTTTTATAAATCAACTCTATGCAGATCCACTCCCCCATGGTTCAGGCCTTAACTCGTGCTGAGATCCCTACCGTGCACACGAGGGGCACCATAGGTCATTTCTTAACGTGTGTATAACCAAGGGGACATCGAGTGATTTTTTTTAAAACCAACTCTGGAAATTCGCTTCTGAGAGGACTCGAACCCAGGCGCGCTGGTGTGTGCAACTAGAGTGTTACAACCATAAACCATAGGCTACAGACCAGTTCGTAGTATTAGAAGATATTGGCTTAACATTTTGAGTAACATTCTGGTCATGCCCTTGATGTCACTTGTATTTTTTTTTGAAGATACACTTCTGAAAAGTTAAGTTTGGCCATCTGTCTCCATCTCCTATGGTCTTATATGATCAATGCATGATGGCCACCAATATAGGGTGTGTTAGTTCACTCTAAAATTAGAAGTTTGGTTAAAATTGGAACGATGTGATGAAAAAGTTAAAAGTTTATGTGTGTAGGAAAGTTTTGATGTGATGAAAAAGTTGGAAGTTTGAAGAAGAAGTTTGGAACTAAACTCGGCCATAATCACCAATTTTTCACCACTCTACATAGCCTAGCCCTGTGCAGATAAGAGTCCCTTGATTTGGGTAATGCTGCTGCCCCTGCCGGCTACACTGCCCTCAAAGTGCAGTGTAAACTGTAGTCCCCAGACTTTTGCACTGTCATAGCCGCAGTTAAGCTGGCATTAGCACCTAACTCAGCACTGCATTGTTTAGTTTTAAGTGTGTCGCTCGAGGTGCCAATCAATTAACCAATGGAGATTGTAGATTCAACTGTACAGATCATATATTGTAATCTAGTGATCTTTGTCTTGTAAGAAAGATTCTTTCTTTCTGTCCTGGAGCAGTGCCACTCTTGCAGCCTTAATGTGTGATCTCCTGATTTTTTTTAATTATTATTTTTTTAAGATGTGGTCTCCAGAAATTTATTCATATCAAAAGAAAAGAGAGTGAACAATGGACCAAGCAAACATATAAATGAATTTTGGAGAAAGTTATCTTTTTTTGGCTGTAGAGTAAAGAAGTATAGGAAATGAAGTGATCTGAATAATGCCTTGTTTGCATGTGTTGATCATAATGCTTTCAAAGCACTCAATTTTCCAGGTCATAACTGTTTTCATGTGCCATGTTAACATCAACCACACTCATTATGTTTGTTCCAAATGATATAATCATGGCACATGGAGTACTGCTTAAGAGTTCAGGCTAGTCCATAGTTGGCTACAGTACTAGTAGCTGTGCCCGTAGCTTATATATGATTCATCCATTATCTAGAAAAAAAAAGTCGATACGCCCATAATTCAGGATACAGAAACACGTACATATCTCAAACTGTTTTAGAATACACTCTCCAGTAACCTCGTCACATTCAGTTCGAAATGTCTCTTTCAGAAACCAAAAGATAAACAAATAGAGATTGATTTTTTTTAATCTCCTTGTGCCGGCCATGGCGGGTCAGGATCTTCCCAAGTTGCAAACTTGGTGGTAGACAATTCTTAGTCTTACATAGTATGCTTCAACAAAAAAAAAAAGTCATAATTAACTATCCAATTTGCGCAAATGATCTCAGCTCAGCAGCCTCTTTGGCAGTTCCAATCTGTAAAATTGCATCCCGACCGGTCCCCAACTCTGACTGTCCCCACGTTTTCAGGCTGTTTGCAAATTTTCTCTCTCATCTAATCTCTCTCTGTCTCGGCCTCTCCTGTTCTGGTCCAATCACTAGACCTTTCCCTTTCTATGACTAAACACTAGCAAAAGAAAGTTCTTCAGTTTTGCCTCTTCTTGCCTTTATCTTGCAGCCATTGCACACACCTCACTTGCTCTTCTCTCTCTCTCTATCTCTAGCATTCTCTCTCTGATCTTGAGATAATCGGATGCAAGTGCAACTCCTGTTGTGTGTTCTTGGTCATCGTCTTCATCGAGTACAAACCCACATGGTCCAGGCAGCCAAGCAGTACGTGCAGTAACTTTGCAGCAGTCGTTTCACCAGTTACATTCTCATCAGTAGTGCATCGCCATGGATTCCCTGATGTGATTGGCATGGGAGTGAGTGCTCGAACAAGCTGAAAAATCTCTCCTTCACTGCACATTGCAGCTGCTGCTGGTCTCTTTGAGGAGCTCTTGATTCGGTATGATTTGATGTGTATTTTAGCTTCTCGATGATCTGTTCTATCGATGCGCTTTGAGTTGTGATTGTTTAAATGTTTGTGTTTGTGTTTCTTGCAGATTCGGAGGTTTAATTTCTTGTGAGTTTCTTGATGGATTTGTGTTGATTGATCGATTGTTTTTTGGGTGGAGATTGGATTGGAGAAGAGATGAGCATTCCGCACCTGTTCAGGTGCCCGATCAGCCTGGACATCTTCACCGACCCGGTGACGCTGTGCACGGGGCAGACGTACGACCGGCCGTGCATCGAGCGGTGGCTCGCCGCCGGCCACCGCACCTGCCCCGTCACAATGCAGCCGCTCGGCGACGCCACCGCGCTCGTGCCCAACCGCACGCTGCGCCACCTCATCGAGCGCTGGCTGTCCACCGACCAACACCACAACCACCACCTCCCCGAGCCGGCGGCGCCGGCGGCGGAGGCCGAGGCCGACGCGGAGGAGCCGTCGCTCGCGGCGCTCAAGCGTTGCCTGCAGCAGCCGGACGCCGCCGGCGCCGGTAAGGCGAAGGTTGGCGCGCTCAAGAAGGTGATGACGCTGGCGTCCGAGTCGGACGTCGGCCGCGCGTGCATGGTCCAGCTGGGCTTCCTGCCCGTGCTGCTGCAGCTCGTGTTCCACGCGCCGGCGGCGCCGCCGTCGGAGCGACGCGGCGGCGAGGCGGCGGTGGTGGAGGAGCTCGCGCTGCAATGCGCGCTCGGCCTCATGCCGTCGAGCGCCGCCTCGCCGCAGCTCGGCTGCCTGAACGTGCTCAAGAGCGAGGCCAGCCTGGCGTCGCTCGTCGCCCTGCTGGAGCGCGGGCGGGGGCGGACGAGGGCGGGGCTGTGCCGCCTCCTCGAGGCCGTCGCCACGGCCGCCGCGACGAGGGAGCTGGCGCTCGTCGTGGCCGCCTCGCCGCGGGTGTGGCAGGCGCTCCTCCCGCTCCTGCGGCACGACGGCCCTGCGCCCACGCCCGCGCCGCCGCACGACGCGCACGCGGCGTCGGACGCCGCCGTGCGCGCCGTGGCGGCGATCTGCGCGTCCGAGCCGGCGCGGGGCGGCGCCATCCACCACGGCGCGGTCGGCGCGCTCCTCGGGCACCTCTCGTGGGCGGCGTCGGGGAAGTGCGCCTCCGGCGGCTGCGCCGGCGCCGTGCCGAGCGCGCTGGCGGCGGTGGAGGCGCTGGCGGCGTCGGAGGCCGGGCGCATGGCGGTGGCGCGCGCCCCCGGCGGGACGCGGGCGCTGGTGAGGCACGTGTTCATGATGAACTCGAGCAACGACGGCAGCGAGCACGCGGTGGCGGCGCTGCTGGCCGTGTGCAGGGAGTCGCGGGCGGCGCGGAGCGAGGCGGCCGGCGCCGGCGTGGTGACGCTGCTGCTGCTGCTGCTGCAGAGCCAGTGCGGCGCCAGGGCGAAGGCCAAGGCCAGGTCTCTGCTCAAGCTGCTCAAATCCATGTGAAAATGATGATGAATCTTTTCTTCTAGAATTATTGTAGACGCCATTGCCGGAGTTTAAGGTGGTAGATGATGATGTTCTTGTAAGCTGTAAGTTTGTGCGTCAAGAATGTCTTTGATGGCAAATGGCTTGTAAGCTGATCGAATGCAGCAATTTCATGGCTGGGATAGACTAGAAAAATGTCTCCCTTCTGCATCTTCAGGTTCATCTTCAAATGCAGCGAGAGGCGCTAGAACTTGGGGAATTTTTGCCATTTCTCGTCGTTGATATAACCTTTTAGCCTTCACGTCATAATCGAACATAAAATTGCAGTAATCCTAATACTCTGAATTTTCTATATAGTATAGAGCTTATAGGAAAACATTGAACAGAGCGGGGATAGCTCAGTTGGGAGAGCGTCAGACTGAAGATCTGAAGGTCGCGTGTTCGATCCACGCTCACCGCAATTTTCATTTTTTTTCATTTTTTAATCAAATCTCTAACCAGTAAATTTCTTTAGTTTTCATGTCACAGACATGCCGATTGTTTTCATCTCTGACCAATTGTTTAAACATGCCGATTGCTTTTATCTCTGACCAATTGTTTTATGTGAATGTAATTTCTTTGATGGACAGTACACGTAGATGCTCATATACAATTTACACCAACTTACCACTAATAAATTAGGGGCTTTTAACTATTTGCCACTCTTACGGATGTTGCTTAACGATTTGCCACTAGGCCCACATGTCATAGACACATGAGGGCCCACATGTCATTGACAGGGTGTGGCAAATCGTTAATTGTCATGTCACAAGAGTGGCAAATAGTTAAATTTCCCAATAAATTAGGGTTGTCAACGAGCTTGAGCTCGCTCACCTGCCTAGGCTCGAGCTCGAGCCGAGCCTATAAAATATTCGAGCTTTCAGACAGGTTCAGTTCGAGCTCGACTACCAAGCTTAATTTTTAAATAGAAAAAGTATATTTCAAGGATAATCTTAAAAAAATTATTTTCTAGTTCATCATATTAATAAAAAAATAAAATAAATATATGACGCCAATACAAGACATACAAATAACATATATGATCTATTCTAATTTATTAAATAACAAAAAAAATCATATATTACTAGGCTCGTTGGAAGCTCGAGCTCGGCTCGACAGAGGTCGCGAGCTTTGGGAGTGGCTCGGGCTCGGCTCGTTTGGAACTCGAGCCGAGCTCAAATCGAGCATAGGACGAGTCGAGCTCAAGCAACTTGCGAGCATCGAGTTTTTTCTATAGCCCTACCCTGAGTACATATGTAAACCTTGCCTATATAAGCACCTCCAAGACCCTAACATCTTATCATTAAATTTTTGAAACTTTTTTGAAAAGAGAATTTCCGAAACTTTTAAAACATGGTGCAAACGCTACACATGCAGATGCTGATATATCACACATTATTCTTATGAGTATATCCGAGAGACTAAGTTGGAATTAATATTTTCATATTAACGAAGTCATCATAGGTGCCTTGCTATTAATGAGAATTTTTTCTACCACTAAAAAAATAATTATATATTGAGCATTTGTGTTTTTACCATGTTTTAAGTCTAACTACTAATTTGGCTTTAAAAATATTTACTCATTTGACCCTCCTTTTTAAAACTGTAGATCAGTTCTGACTCTGTTCCGTAAAGAATAGTCTCAAAATAGGTTTCTGTGGATGAGCATTTACCGGTTATGAAATGCTCGAGGCCAGCCGGCTGTGAACTGTATTTGCCTCGTCCTCTATATACACCTACAGTAGTATCTAAAGTAGCGAAATAATTAATCTTTATTGAATCCTGATTGAGCATTTGTACCCTTACTCATTTGACACTACTTTCACAACGATTTTTCTTTTCTCATTCCAGTTTTTTACATCAGTATATAAAATATGTGAATTTTTTTTATTAACCTCTTGACACAGTAATGTTTATATTTCTTATCTCTCCTTTACAAATATACTTTGCTCTTTGAGCCTAATTCCATAACCAAACCTCCAATTTCTCTTCTCATCAAGTATCATAGCCTTAGCCACCAGCCACCGAACCTTGCCGTCGCCTCTCGCCGCCGCCGGCCACCGCTCAACACCTCCTCGTCAAGCAAGCACATCCAAGTCCAAACAAGCAAGAAAGATCCAGTGGCAGCACGCACGTCCATTCAACAAGCAAGTGCACGAGCAGTAGGAGCAATCTCATGACACAGTAACGCTCGGCGCCGTCGCATCCGGTCTTCCTCTTGCCCGCTGCCACCGGTGCATGCAGCTTGTGGATGGGAGAGAAGGAAAGGTCGACACAACCTAGCCACCACCCTCGCAACAGCTTGGGTTGGTATTTATTACAGACTTACCGTCTAAATTCGTAAGTACATTGATATAACGCTATAGTATTTCACCCCAGAGTATTTTAAGGGTATCGAATAACATAAAACCTTGTGTAAAATCTAAGAAGCATGTTCGTCCAAAGACAACAACTAATGGAAGACATACAATAGAGAGGATTTTTATAGATTAAGATTCTTGAATTAAGTTAAGATAAAAACTCTATCAATTACTTTGAACACCGATTATCCCTAGCCTGTCAAGTGAATCTGGCCTACAGCTCTATATAGGGTTGTCATCGCTTGCCACCTACCTCTATAATCCGTGAAGCGCACAACAAACAAAGATAACTTTTAACCAAGACACCATATCTACGTTATTGATTACTACTTTAGCCTCGCGCAAGAACTTTCCTACTTTATCCTAAGTCTTAGTAATAGAACACTTAATATATATATTACACGATAAACCCTCAATGATGACAATATATCTTACTTAAAGAAAAGGAAAATTAAATAACCAACAAAAATCTCAAATACCTACTTTTATAAAAGAAACATCCGTCAAGATACAAGAGTGGAGAGAATGCCAACTACCCTGTCACTCCTTCATAAATTTCCCTCACCTTTTCCCTATTTTTTTAGCTCTCTACTGGAGGGTAGCAAATTGAGAGATCTTCACCTGAGTTGTGTGCGGAGAGTGAAGTGAGAAGATCTTTTTATAGAGTCCAATAACAGTTGTGAACGACATATAAAGTGAGAGTTTGTACGTACTTTGTATGTATAAAGTATACATATATAATTCGGTGCACATACGTGTGTTTGTGTGTATATGTTGTACATATTTACATGTAGATTATAAGCTTTATTATATGTATAGGCATACACTTTGTATTTATATGTATATTTATTACAAATATGTATACGTATAAATACAAAATGTATACATATACGTATAAACTTTGCATTTATATACGTACGTAAGAAGTATAAAGCGTCCCCGGGACCGGCCAGTAGCGACCGCGCGCCGGACCGAATCCGTTCCATTCCAACACAAAATCCGAAACGGAGTCTGCAAACCGTAATCCGAATCCGTTTCTCTCTCCCCTTTCAATTTCAAACCGCAGATAAATAGACCGGAGGAGAAGCCCCGCTGATATCACAAACCCACCAAGCTCCCATCGATCGCCTCCGTGATCACAAGAAGAAAATTCCCCGAGATCCGCCAAGACCTCGCTCGCCGCCGCCTCGCCGCTGGCGCCGCCATGATGGACCCGGAGATGATGCGGGTGGCGCAGGAGCAGATGAGACGGATGCCCCCCGCCGCGCTCGCCGCGATGCAGCAGCAGCTCATGTCCAACCCGAGCCTCCTCCGCTTCGCCACGGAGGGCATCAAGACCCTGACACCCGACGACCTCCGCCGCGCCGGGGAGCAGATGAGCCGGACGAGCGCCGAGGAGGTGCTCGGCATGTCCCGGAGGCTCGCCGCCGCCAGCCCGGAGGAGCTCGCCGCGACGATGAAGAACGCCCAGGCCGAGCAGCAGCGCGCGTCGTCCTACGCGGCGGTGTCCGGCGCCAGGGCGCTCAAGGACCAGGGCAACGCGCTCTTCAGGCTCGCCCGCCACGCCGACGCCGCCGCCAAGTACGCGCTCGCCGTCGACAACCTGCGGAGCGTCCCGTCGTCGGCGTCGCGGTCGCTGCGGGCGGTGTGCGGCGTCAACCTGATGGCGTGCCACCTCAAGACCGGGAGGCTCGCCGAGTGCGTGGAGCTAGGCTCCGAGGTGCTCGGCCTCGACCCGGGCAACGTCAAGGCGCACTACCGGAGAGGGCAGGCGTACAGGGAGCTCGGGAGGATGGAGGCGGCCGTGGCCGACCTGAGGAGAGCGCACGAGCTCTCCCCCGAGGAGGACGCCATCGCCGACGCTCTGCGAGACGCCGAAGAGAAGCTCGGGGCTCCCAGAGGCCTCGTCATTGAAGAAATCGTCGAAGAAGAAGAAGAAGCACAAGGTTCAGAGATACTACCAACCAGTGGGGCAACTTCGTCTTCAACCTCTGGACACAGTGTTCCATCGCCATCGCCATCGCCGTCTGCTGCTGCTGCGGCTGAGATGATGAACTCCATGGGGGACCCGGCGATGGGGAAGATGGTCGCGTCCGTGGTGCAGGGCATGGATCCGGAGACGGTGTCGATCATCGGGAAGCAGTTCGGGGTGGACCTGTCCAGGGACGACGCTGCCAGGTTGCAGGACGCCATGAAGAAGCTGTCTCCGGAGAACCTGGAGAAGGTGATGGGTTGGGTGAACCGGGCACGGCGCGCGGCGGAGGCCGCGAGGAAGGCCAAGGAGCTCCTCCTGGGCAGCAGGAGAGGCTGGCTGGTGCTCGCCATTGTCGTGCTCGTCCTCGCGTTCGTCCTTCATCACCTGCTCGGGTTCATCGGAGCGTGATGCGATGGTGGCCGATGGCCTGGCACTGCATGCTTAGTGCTAGTAGATGTAGATTTGAGTGGCTGTAATTTTTCTTATTCTTTTCTCGACGTAATAGTCGAGTATGAAATATTCGTCGAGTTCTTGTGTTTATGGAGCTGAAGGAATCGACTATTAGAATTGAGCTAGTATATTCAGTTTTTTTTTATCAGTTCTAACCTTGGTATATTCATGCAATTGCAAGGTGCCTCACATGCTTCAAAATAACGTCAACATAATCCTGAAACCAATAGTCTGGTGCTCCTCTGAAAAAAGTATGATGATATTCAGTCACTCGATATTTATCACGGTTTCGACATAAGAAATCTGAAATTCAAATGTAATATAAATGTAAACTTTAGCTATATTCATTGCAGTAGCCAGTGCCCAGTAGGGAGAAATCCTTACATCTGCTAGGGAAGCGCTAAACTAACTACATCATCCAAACGTCAGCTTCTCCAAGCTAGCGAATTTACAGGCCGTATTTTTATGTACTGATATAGTACAGCATAATACAAAGTGGAGGCGACAACCGCCTACAGATATACAGAAATTCCTCTCTTGTCAACAGCCTCTTTCCTCGTGGAGCCTTTCTATACTGTACAGTAAAATCAGATCGGTGTAGTAACAGAGTTACGACATGTTGCTGACATCTCTAACATTATATATCTACGATGTCATGGGAACAATTCTCCTGCTGAACATTCATCAGCACTCATGGATGACTGACGCTCAGAACCTCTTTGGGGAGCCGTAGGGGCTTTGGACCTTCAACTGGCTGATATCCTGCCAGGTATCCGAAATCGTGGGAATTCGTCTTGTCTCGTTCATCATGTAGCTTGATAGATTATAGGAAGTAGCACCATTGGAAAATGTTGGGTGTGGTGGGGATGGCAGGCAGCTCCAGTTGGATTGCTTAAACTGCCGCAATGGGCTTGAGCATGGGGACACCGGTAGAGACATGTTTGTTCTCACAACGGAAATAGGACTGCTGTAGGATAATACATAAGCATCAACAAGTTGAAAGAGAGTACAAAGTGAGGATAAATGCAAGAATCACAGTACCTGGCGGTGTGTGGTGAAGGAACGGCTGTGGAAAATCCGGTAAAATCTCTTGCACTCACTCCTATATCCTTTAGGGGAGTGATACTTTTCCTTGAGAACTCCCTGTTGGACTGCAACAAGGATGAAGACATGATAAGCGTCAGGACTCAGGATTCAGGAAAATAGAAACCATAAAAGAAGCAAGCAATGCCATTTTCCCCCTTAAAAGCCAACAATACTACATCGAACTCCATTCAAATAAAGTAGCAAAAGGGGCCCTTGCTCCATCAGCTTACAATTTTAACTAGACATACTCAAAAGGATCTTTGACTAAGCCAGTGCAACTGAGGAAGAATGTAAAAGCACTGGCCAGAAAACGAAAAGAAGGCTACTCCCTCCGCCCCTAAAATATACTCCCTCCGTTTCATAATGTAAGATTTTCTAGCATTACTCATATTCATATAAATATTAATGAATCTAGACATACGAATATGTCTACATTTATTAACATCTATATGAATATGAGCAATGCTAAAAAGTCTTACATTGTGAAACGGAGGAGGTAGCAAGTTTTAGCTATGAATCTGGAAAAACACTTGTCCAGATTCATAGCTAGAAATTGTTATATTCTGGGGTGGAGGTGGTACCATTTATTGGCCAAAGTGGTTTATGCGCATGTAAAGTACTCAACCCAGTGTGCTGTGGCTGCTTTTCTCATTGGACTTTGGAAAGGGCCCATGAGAATAAAGGCCTACGGAAAGCTGAATTCAGAATGATAAATATAAAAGTATACCGTTGTATGCGTCCCATCTGCTGGTGCAAACGCATTTCTCAGTGCACCAGATTTCGCAGCTCTTACTGCTGGATGGTCCTGAACAAAAGGGTGATCCATCAACTGAGTTGCAGTGAAGCGAGATGCAGGATCACGTTTTAAGCACATCTGCAAGAAGCTTTTTCCTTCCTCAGAAAAGCTGTCTGGGATTTCAGGTATCTCTTTACTGTTTGCGATCTTAAATATAGCAGCTACCTGCAAGATCAGATTGGATCAGCTTGGCATTCACAAGTTACTTGGAAAACTATAGCTACAAAGTGAAAGCATACCCCCTCGTATTTATGCCAAGGAGGTTTTGCCGTTGCCATTTCAATAATAGTACATCCCAAACTCCAAATGTCAACTGGTAGATGGTAACCTCTACCGTTCATTATAACCTGCATGTTACAATCATTAGGAGAATTCAGAATCATATAAAGATGATGATAAATACGGTATATAAAGGTTTACTGTTAGAAAAACAATTTACCTCAGGAGCCATCCAGTAAGGACTTCCTTTGAAAGAGCGTATTTCAGCAAAAGATGATATCTGTGTCAAACGTAAGTAATGAAATTAAAGGCTTAAAAGAGGAGGGGTGGGGGGGGGGGGGGATACAAGCTACAGTAGTATTGTGTATATTCTCTTGTAGTCGTGAACTAGCAATAATAGACATCAAAAGGACCCGAAAACTTCTGTAGATATATGTGCATGTACTAACGCAAAACACATCAACCAGACAACCATCAAACTTATCATCTGGGAATAGATATCAACTATCTTCAAACTTCCACAGAATCCTTTTCTACTTATGAGTAAGGAGAAGTAAATTAAATGTAGCTTCATGAAGGAAATGGAATTGGAATGTGCTTCTATGCCTTCCCAAAAAGGAAACAACATGGATGCTTAAGAAATTAAACCCGACAGATAAATTCAGCAGCATTTAGAAACAACAAAGTTATCTTTTAGGAAAACATTTCTCTTTTAGAATTATTATAAGATGCATTGGCAACATTTCAATGTTAAAGGTATTGAACCAAAAGGGATGTTGCGACCAAATTTTAAGACGATAAGACTACATGATGCTGCACACACAGGTCAGGGGATGGAAAAGAAAAAAAAAATGCATACATGCTTAGCCATGCCAAAGTCAGCAAGTTTGACTTCACCATTAGGGCCGACAAGTATGTTAGCACCTTTAATATCTCTGCGAAGAGAAACAGGATGAAGTGGTTAAGGTATTTCTTTTACTACCAAAGGAATGTAAAACAACTGTGGATAATCTGTACTACCTGTGGACAGTGTTCCTCCCATGCAAGTAGGCAAGACCAGAGAGAATTTGTCCAGTGTAATTACGGATCACAGGTTCCTTAAAAGGACCATACTCTCTAAGTAATTTATGAATTGAGCCCCCAGAAACAAACTCCAGATAAATTGAAAGTGCATCATCAGTCTGCATGGAAAAACATACAGAATTAGAAAGTATAAGCAACACAAAGTACTTTCTACTTTCTGAAGTGCTTCGAACAAAAGATGAGAACTAAACAAGAAAACCAGAGAATTTTCTTCTGAGAGGGAAAATAAAGAAGTAAAAAATGCAAACCAAGTGAGAGGAAATAACAGCAAAAATCTTATATTAGTAGCACAGCAGAAGAGGTGACAGGAAATCGAACAATTTAATTATCTAAATTCAAAAGATAGACTAAAAAGTAAAAATGAAATGCGTTACTACTCATACATAATAAACAATTAAATGCTGATGTTTTCTTCATCCTTCCAGACACGCTTACACTTATACATGTAACAACCTCTTGCAAGTTTCATTGATCAGGATAGTGATTTGTAAACGCGAACCAACCAAACTAAATGCTGTTAATTATCTGGATCTGGCTCTAGTCATCACAATAATCATTTTGCTTTAAGACACAGGCTTTTTTTTGTAATCTTCATACGTCAGTTACATCACAAGTCATGCATGTAACAGACAACATGGTAGTTACAAACATGTATTGAAGTTATATATAGTTGCACAGAGATAAATGCAATTGTTTATCAAGTAAAGCTTACCATCTCACTTCCATAGTACTGCACAATGTTTGGGTGCGAAAGTTGCCTAAGCATATCTATTTCCTGTTAATGCCCGAGTGAATTAATATGTCAGTGAGTCCATTGAACAAGAGACACAAATGCTGTTACTACTCATCAAAAGATATTCATACTGATTAAACTGAGAAATAACCTGATTCAATTGCTTGAGTCGTTCTTTTGAATGTGGATCATCCGAAATAACTTGGACCTCCTTAATCGCACAGAACTGCCCATTTTCACTGCATGATTCATCATAAACTAAGAATGCTACCACAAATTGCTATTGGACAAATTTAGGTAATACCACAACCTCACAGAATATACCAAATTCTTGTACAAATTGCTGTACATATCAAGACCTTGGCACCATAAAATTCAGCAAAATAACTGATGCCACTTAATCTCACTGTTGAGTTCATTACCCCAAATAATGGAATATGAAAATTTATCATATACTCCGCGAGGGATTATTGCTTTCAATGCGGAATCAATGCATCATATACAAAATTGTAATACCAAAATACAATAATGCCAAACTATAGAAAGATTCCAATACCTGTTAAATCCAAGGTAAACCTGGCCAAATGTACCGCTCCCTAACAATTTGCCTTTTTTCCATTGTGATTCGGATTGCAAGCAAGTAGTGGGACCTAGAGGGTGAGGCGAGTAAGCAGTGGGAGATGGGGGAAGAGGTGAACAAGTAGCAGGACCTGGAGGAAGAGGTAAAGGATGAGGTGGGCTCTTCAATCCATCCATCATTTTTACTGGTGACCTTGGACTAAAACCAAATTCCCTTGAATTTACATTATTTACAGCAAAAGTATGGCCTTTCGGTCCAGGGGAGAGGCTTCTTGTTCTTGGAGCAAGAAAATCCTCGGGCAACATTCTGCCACGTGAACTAGTTTCGCTAGTTGACAGATCATCACAATGCAAATGAAGTTCTCCCATATTAGTGACAGGAACCTCGAAGAACTTCCGATGCTCCCGTGGCATGCTATAGGACATGAAATGATTGTCTTCATTTAGGATCTTATGTGAGTCAGATGGCATATTTCTTCCCCTGACAAAAGACGCCGGATCCGTAGACCTAGAAATTACACCAAGCAGCCAAGAATCATCAGATATTATATCAACACAAATTTTGAAATGAAATATATAAATACTGTAACAATGTGCTGTGGAACAATACGCTAATTTAAGTACCCCTAAACATAGGCACGTCATATGAATTTATATACTTCAAAAAGTTCTCAAATTGTCCAACTCAAAGAAGTTGTCAAATTAAGTTCAGAGCATAATGATTAACGAAAAGCACTGTACATTATTGTTGAGAGAACGTCAATGATTTAGCACAAGAACCAAATACACGTTTCAACAGAATGGTGACTCCAGGGCAACAAAAGAAACAACTATTCAGCCTTTTTAAAATTCTTTGTCCAACCATTAACACACCTTAGCGTCCCGAGTAATCCTGTGTGCAATACATATTTAGCAGAGAAAGAAAAATAAATGGCTTAGGATTCCCGAACTGGAAGTAATCTGAAACGACCATGGGAAAAGGTCAACTTGTAGAGTTGGTACGAAGCCACACTGTTCATTCATCACGTCCCCAACTCTGCACTTGACTAGGAACACTTAAAAGCAAGTAGCAAAGCCGAGTAAAGCCATTCACACGAAATTAGTGGGGAAAGTAACGCACGAAGCCTACATGCTACGCTTATCAGATCATGAAATTCCCCAAATTTTGATCACAATACCTATATATCTGGAATTGCACGTTGCACCCCCCGAGAAATAGAAATCGAACAGGCTGAGGTATTCCACGATCGCACACTTACCTACATACTTGCTGATCCGTCGCCTCGTCCGACGAATCATGCGAGCACACGCTCAACTCCTCCGACGAGGCGTCGCCGGCGACGCCGCCCACCACATCCCCGTTCTCCTCGAACCTTACAGGAGCCGGCTCCAACTCCGGCTCCTGCCCCTGCCCCTGCCCCCCCGGCCCCGCGTCACCCACGGGCACGGGGAGCTTGTACCCGACCTCCCCGAACCCCCCACCACACCGCCCGCCCCCATGCCGCGGCGCGGCGGCCGACGGCGAGTCGAGGCTGCGCGCCTTCTCCCTCGCCCGGGGGGTCACCGAGGGGGAGGCGGAGAGGTCAACGAGGTCGAGCGACTTGCGCGGGGACGACGCCGCGGAGGCCGCCCCTGCCCCGGGGGGCTTCCCCACGCCCTTCGCCTTCGACCTCGACTTCCGTGGCCACCACGCGGGCATCGCGCGCGCGATCAGCAGCACGCTGCGCCGGAGCAAAGCACCACACCACCTATCGTCCCCCTGCTGCCGCCGAGCTCAGGCGGCGGCGGCGGCGGCGCGGGGAAGCGAGGAGAGAGAGAGAGAGGAAGGCGCGAGGAAGGAGACGACGCGGCGGCGGCGACGCTTTTAGTCGGAGAGGAGGAGGAGGAGATATTTTTTTTTCCAATTATTTTCTTGTCTAAAAAACCCAAGCAAAAAATGCGGGGGATTGAGAGGTGTGCTCGCGCGCGCGAGTACTAGTGGTTGCTGCGAGCAAGTGGCGCTCAGGTGGGTCCCGAGCCAAGTAAATGCTTCTCACCGTCAAGCGGGGCTCCGCGTCCTCGAACCGTGGATGGCCCCACCTGCCAGTGACAGGTGGTGTGCGCGGCTAGCTGTAAGCGGAGTGCTACTACTACTACCAGCTCGCTCTCTCCTCTCCCGCCACTTGCGCGCGGCGGCTCTGCGAGGTGGGGCCAGCGCGTCTTTTTTTCTTTTTCTTTTTTTTTTTTGCGCTCGTGCGTGTGTTGGCTTTCGCCTTTTTTTCCTTTTTCACCGTGTGTGTCCCGTGCCGAATCTTCGCGGAACGCGGGTGGTGGTACTGGTAGTCTGGTAGACGGGTGCGGTGCGGTGCGCGCGTCGGGTTCGGGTCGGGAGGGAGGTTTGGTGACGCACGCCAAGCGGGGACGTGTTGAGCACACACCGGAGGAGTACACTGTACACAACGGCGGCTTGTAAAAGCAAGTTTAATAGCCAACTACTAGCTCCAATCCAACTATAGCCAATCTAATAGCTCATCCATATAATAGTTATATACTACACGATTAATACATGATCCCACATGTCATACACATACTGTGTCTTAGAGTCCGTGCTACAGCTGGTATAAATCTGTAGCCCGCTGCTTTTCTCTCTCCTTATTTTTCTTCTTAAAATATATTTGTAGCTAGCTTATAGCTTGCTATTGTACCTGATCTAATAACATCAAAAGCCGTTACCTATGTTCACCCTTTGTCTTATTAGAAAAAAACTAAGTAGTAGTATCATTTATTTGTTTTTGACTTGTTTTATCATTAAAGACACTTTAACATATGACTTGTATTGTATATGTACAATATTTTTTAATAAGACGAACAATTGTTCGAAAATAAGTAACATTATACTCTTAGAAAATGAGTAACAATTTTATTACGATGTCATGCAACTAATAATAAGTCATAGATATTTATTGTGGTGTTGCACAGATAACATCATTTGAACCTACGAGAGGATTACCTTTTAAAAAAATGGTAGCTACTTCAAAATTAAGATTAAATTAAATATGAATGTAGAGACATACTCCTGTACTCCTGTATGTTAAGACTTCATAATACAAGTAGCAACAAGCTAGTTGTAACTGTCCAATAGCTCATGTAATGTGTAATTATTTAATGTGGTTTGCAACTTTGCATTATTTATGGTCTTAAGCCAGAAATTGGAATGCCACGCCAATGGGATTGTCCCACCACTAGACCAATCAGACTAACATTTCCACACAATGATGCCATATTTCCATGTGCTAGAAAACTGCTACTACTCATTTTGCAATGGGAGTAATCAAACAGTGCAAGATCAGAGCATATCTTCTTAAACAACATTTTTCCAGGTTAGCTAATAAGTGAACTATTAGTGTATCTAAGTGGAATTTGCGTGTGGGTTGTGCTGTCCTAAACTCTATAAAAGTTTCAGTACATTGGTCCCAAAAGCATGTATGCGAGGAATCGTCGCTTTCAGACATGAAAGGGATTTGACAAAAATAAACCATGCCATTTATATATACTATGTGCTAAAGTCACCATCTCACTTTTCTTGCATGAAGTAACTATTTTAACTTTTTCATATCGTAGGAAACAATAAACAATATGTAGTACACACAGCATCAAATACACAGCAATAGGCATGTATCTGCAAAATACACTCTCCGTCCCCGAATCAAATCTTAGCTATAAATTCTTTATCCAGTTTTATAGTCAAGATTCAAATATTTTTAAGGACAAAGGGTGTAAAACCTTAGAAAAAATATCAAGGGATTACACGAGTTCTATAGTAGAACTCGTACATTAATTATGTGATCATTAACTTCGTTTAATTCCTTTCGTGGCCTAGAAACTGTAGGCAGAACGGCAGGAATCAAATCAATCTTTTTCACGCACAATAACCATAGATGGAGGCGTAATTCACGCCAAATCAATGCAAGCTCACATCACTTCGATCACTTCACAGTGAGCTAGCCTTATTTTTTTTAAAGAAACACAATGCAAACGCATACACCAATAACGAACACACAAATATCCTATCCTTAAGCACCTCACTCACCCCTAAAAACACAAACATACACCCTACTTTTATAAGCACACTGAAAGAATAGACCGATATATATTAAGATTAATGAAGTCATCACGGGTGTATCCTTGTCGACGGGTATGTCGCTTACCACTGAAATAATAATTAGTCAAAAATGCGGGCACCATGTCAAGTTTAGGACTTATCTGGATGGGCTAATTCCATCGCGAGAAATTTAACCAGATCAATTACGCTCATTTCCAGCTAGCCTTGATTTTGATTGATCTAACCTTAATGTTCGTCCATGACCAAACTGTTACTAGTACTTACTAGCTACACCCTTCGTAAAAAAATAATCCTAATTATAACCCTGATAATTAGCTACACCCTTGGTTTTTTATTATGCTAACTTCCTCAATCTCCAGCGCTCTGGACAGCGTTTGGCGGCAGCAAAATCCAAGAGAAAGGGCGCCAAAACTAGTGTTTAAGAATAATCAATTAATTAATCACATGATTTAGAGCTTAAGACGTACGTGAGGCAGATCGATCGAGAGCGACCGGTACACACACATGGCGCCCGATGTAACGTGCCAACCGCTGAGATTTAACTATATATGATCAATTCGAAATCTCCATTAATTCACATGGGCGAGATCACGACACTTATGTGATTAGTTCATTAGTTGATTATTTTTTGTTCATTCTCACTCGATCTTTTGATCAGGGGGCTAGCTCTGGCTAGCTGCCGCAGCATGCATGCATGCACATACACGCTTAAGTCAAACAGAGTTAGCTTAATTTCTAGGCTAAGTCATGATGGTTGAGAGGTTAATTAACCTTTTCTCTTTTTTGCGACTTTTCATTTTCATACCTATCATTGTCTCCAAACCGGCTAATTGTAGTTGTTAAGGCAATTTCCAGTCAACTCCCTTATTAGAAAATTGGTCCCGAATAATAATACTATGTTGACTTTAGCTGACAATTGTACACAACGCAAGAATGTCAGCGCTAATATGTCAGCTGTACACATGAACTGTATCATCACAGTACTGACATGTACACACAAGAAGCACGACACATTTGAAGAAATGTATTGTGGGCCTGTTGGACAGACCGAAATTTCGGCCCATCCAAATTTTGTAGGACGTAAACGGGTTCTCGTGGCCAGGCCATGTACGTGGATGCATGGGTCGGAATTGAGGCCCATCCAGAGGAGAGGGCCTGAACGAGCTAGCTCTGGACCGCGGTTAGCCTAGACATCTACGGCCCAAATGGTCACAACTCCCTTAACTACAGGGCGAATCTGATTCATATCCCTTAACAATTTTTTCTTGTGTGAATGATAAGTGGGTTCCACGTATATTTTTTTTAATTTTAATACCACATAAGCGTCACATCAACGCTACGTGTGTCAGGGTTATGGATACCACATACCTAATAGTAGTTGACTAAATCTCGGCAGGACCCACCACATACCATGTCCTATACGGAAACAACGTGCGGATATAGGAGGAGTTCCAGACAAGAAAGACAACCAGAGTTCTACATGAAAACGACAAGTACTACTCGGATTGTATCCATATTTGTTTCCCTAGTTCTACTTGAACAAGGGGACACCTATGGGTATAAATACAAGTCCCCCTAGGAGGAGAGGGGGACGAGGAACACCCAACACAATCGACATAGAAGCCACAACATAAAAGCCTACATACGCCAAGATACGCCGCCGGATATCGACTTCAGGGATAAGCACGGCTAGTACCCTACGGTGTCTCCGGATACTGTCAGGAGAGACGAAAGCCCTATCTTTGATCTCGCCGGGCACGGATTCGAGGAGAAAGGCTACCCTGTTGTCGACTACGAGTCAGATCGTCAGACTGCCATGTCGACAATAGTTAGATAGGCTACCCCAAATATTGTACTGGTGTGATTATCATGAATAAGAGCAATACCAGCTTCGGCCAATAGGATGTAGGGTTATTACCTGACAATTGAGGGGCCCGAACCTGTATAAAAATTCTCGTCTCCATCTCTTTTACCTCAGCCTCGCGTATACCCTAGTACCAACGATCCCCATGCCATGCAAATACCGTAGTTGAGACATCAAACGTCGACAGTGGCGCGCCAGGTAGAGGGATTTTGATGCTTCAGGATTTCGACGAGATGGGTTTAAGAGATGGACTCTCCGACAACAAGCTACTCGACGACTTCGGCTGTGGTGAGATCCAACCTAACCAGATCGGAACCATCATTGTCATCGACAACTTGGTCTATCGAGATCATCCAAGCCTCAAGCTCCGCGGCGTACCAAAAGATGTCAGATCGCATGATATCGAACGAGTACGCAACAAGGTAATTGGTAGATTGGTTTTTTAAATTGATCTACTAATTTCGTAGATACATCCAGCATGTATCTACAAAGGTACGCCGTATTCTATATACAATTTACCATACCTACTTTTCAAGATCATACAATATTGTCAGATCTATAATTTATTATGTTTACCTAGAGCATGTTTTTTATACAATATCTATTGTGCGAGTGTTTCCGGTGTTAGGCCGACAACGGTTTAATGCTGGGGGCTCGCTCTATTTTCTTCTGTATAAATCTTTCTTGTTTACGGTCTACATAATGCATAATATTTAATCTGCTTGTTATATTCTGATAATACTAGAAGATCCATGCACATTTTTGAGTACATACTCGATATTATCTGCTATATGTCTTGTCTTCTAGAAAATATTTTTCAGGAACAATTGAGCACTCGAGTAGGTTGTGGTCAAGTACACCGCATTATCGAAAACGATCTCGACAAATGCAGAGTCATCGCGCCCAACCTACCAATGAAGACCGACGACCTATCTCATAGCACCGGCCATGGCTGGACTACTCGAGAAAAGATTGTTAA